ACATCTATCCAACAACTCATCATCAATATTATATACTAAGTGACATATAAATCCGAACACCCAGTTTAAACGGTTTTATTTTAATAAAAGTTGGTGATTGTATTTATCTTACTGTAAATAACAAGTGAAAAAATTTTCAGCCTTATCAGTTGGACATTCCGGTTTTTATACTGCTTTTTTTTAATTCACTAACGCTCTAAAAATGAATATTTCAGCCGCAGTAAAGAATCAACGTTGGCGGATTTTGGTTCTTGACATCCTTTACGATCGGTTACGATGCCTAGAGTACGGAGACCTGTACGATTTCGTCAACTTAGTGAGTTTGATAGGGGCCGTATAGTGGGACTTCGGGAAGCTGGACTTTCTTTTCGGGCAATTGCAGTTAGAGTGCAAAGAAGTGTAGACACTGTGGTTAGGTGTTGTCAGGCATGGCTTCGTGAATGCCGTACGCAAAGAGCAAGGGGCACTGGACGCCGCCGTAGAACAACAGACCGTGAAGATCGCCGCCTAAGATTATTGGCCTTAAGGGACCGTTTCTCCACTACCAGGTCCATTGCAAATGAATGGTTTGCAGAATACGGAAGACCTATTGGCATGCGAAGTGTTTACCGACGAATGAGAAGTTTTGGCTTGTTTTCAAACCGGGCACACTGGGTCCTCCCTTTAACTCGAGAACACCGACGTAATCGCCTTGAGTGGTGCAGACGACGGTCACTCTGGGATCAGGAATGGAACAGTATTGTCTTTAGTGACGAGTCTCGATTTTGTTTAGGCATGCACGATGGTCGTGCCAGGGTTAGAAGGCGACGTGGCGAAAGGAGGAATCCACAGTTTTTTGTTGAAAGACATGTTCATCACACTGTTGGAGTTATGGTTTGGGGTGCTATAGCTTATGGTTCCAGATCACCGTTAATCTTCATCAGAGGTAACATGAACGCGCAGCGTTATATCCACGAAGTTCTAGAACCCCATCTTTTACCCTATCTTGACATCCTGGCAGATCCAACTTTCCAACAAGATAATGCCCGACCACATGTTGCAAGAGTTACAATAGACTTATTTCAACATAATGATGTCACATTGTTACCATGGCCACCAAGATCTCCCGACTTATCCCCAATTGAGCACGTGTGGGATATGATGGGTAGGAGATTGCTCAATTTGCAACGTCCTCCTCAGACTCTAGAAGCACTTCTAGAGAAGTTGGTGGTTGCCTGGAATGAGATACCACAGGAGGACATTGACCACCTGATCAGAAGCATGCCTAGGCGCGTTGGAGAATGCGTAGCACATCAGGGTGCATCCACACATTATTAAAGGTCAAAGGGCTTTAAAGCAGTGCAATCATTTTGAAATTTTTATCATTTACTTATCATGCTTCATTAAGTACTTATACAAAATTTTATTAAAATAAAACCATTTAAACTGGGTGTTCGGATTTATATGTCACTTAGTATAGTTGAAAATATGAAGGTTTTTTTTTCTACTATAACAACCTTGCACTTGGTGTTTAGCTGCAAATTGTTATAGAATCATTATATGATATACCAATGTTGCGGCATACAAACATCTTGTTTCCATGGTCAACCAATAGAATTATTTCAACTTATGCGAAATTTGTTCTCTTCTGATTTCATATATTAATCTGTGGCATGAATTCTGCACAACCTGGATTTTACGCATGATAAAAATTGAAATGTAAGAGGACTATCGCTGCACAACGATTTATTTTGGTTCTTATGAGAAGGTTGTGCCTATTGCAATACTATAACTTACACCCAAGTTTTGGACAATTTCGAGTTGTTTAGAATTGATGGTCATAACAGTGTATTATGCAAGTGTTTAAGCCCTTGCCCAGATATTATGTATACACTGCTCCTAATATAGAGCCTTGCAGAACGCCTTATTTTGGAGCTAGCATAAAACCATAATAAACACTTGGACATATAAATTACTTTAGATTTGGCAGAGTTAAGATGTAAACAGAGTTCCTCAGCATTTTTTGTCAAAACATAATAAATCTCTATTGATGTGTAAAATGTATAAAATCAAATCCAACACCTTGTGGGTTCATATAAATTTTTCTTTATAAAATTATTTATTTGAGGAACCATGTTCTAGAGTATTAATCAACATCGTGTTTAAATACAAATCCCGAAAAGCTGCATACTTTTATTGAACATTCTTTTTTCGTAAATAATTTATTGATGCGTTTTTCTTGTTAAATTTGCACGTCACATCTGTGTACACGAAAATTCAATAAATTTCAAGGATTTTTACAAGAAAGCAAAAAATCTTATACCCTGTTCTACCCAAATCAGGCGCAGGTTCCACCTGAAAACGAAGAATTCTCAACTATATATTGTTTCACCCGAAGAAATATCAACAATTGAATGTTGGCATCTGTTAAGTATAGTAGAAGTGTTACTGAAAATTGCTTGATGTGTAGATAATTTTGATAACATTGACTAAAGTCAATGTTATCAGATACTCATATCTTTTCAGTGTTAGCTTAAGTAAGATTCCTTAATTATGGTACCCATAAAATTTTGGTGATGACATATCATCTAATATTATATACATATACCTAACTCAATTATTTGCTCTATAAGCTTTGTAAAGCCTAAAGAATATTTTGTGGAGAAGGAAAGTGCAATAGATAGGCCTCACGGTGCATGGCACGGAATGGGGTACCTGATGCTCGGACGGTTAGTCTATAATTGTTATTAGTTATTTAGTACGCAAGCGACCATTGTAGGCCTGACAGGAACTAAAAAAATGATCTTTTAGTCTGTCTGGTATTTGTATTATGCGATAAATGCTGAATAATTTTTATTAAACATACTTTGACGTAGAAGTCATAGTTTTCGAAAGTGATTTTCTGTGATTTCTGACATTCCAAAAAATTAGATGAGTCATTCGTCAGATATTTGATGCGTTTCAAACTTTTATTACAGTCTGTATATTTTCATTTATATCTGCCATGGAAACAGAAATATGATGCGTCTGCTTTATGCTCGTATAGTACAGGGTCCGTCAGGAAGAACGCATGTTTTTTAAATGAGTAGTACAGTCAAAATGAGTATGGGAAAAATATTTTATTATATCAAAATACTCAGAAATACACGCCATTATTTGAGTAAAACAAAATTTACGTTCTAAAAACTATGTCGGTCATATGGCGCCCTTGAGCCGAAATGCAGGAATCAAGCCTCTCCCGAAATGAGCCCATTGCGTCGGCCAGCATCTGTGCAGGAATTTGGGTTACTTCTCTTCTTATTTCCTCCTTCAAATCGACGAGGGTCCTAGGCTTGCTTTGGTAAACTTTTGATTTCAGGTAGCCCCATAAAAAAAATCACAGGTTGACAGGTCCGAGGAGCGAGGGGGCCAGGGAATATCGCCATGACGTGAAATGAGACGTCCTGGGAATTTTTGCCGAAGAAGTTCCATCGAAGTGCGAGCTGTGTGAGATGTTGCCCCTGGAGACCAATATCGACAATTTTGTTTATCGACGTATCCATGTACATGAAAATGTGCTCCATCACTCAACAACGTCATGTCATTGTTATCCAGCTGTTCAATGATGAGCTGTGCAAAATTGACACGTTGTGCATAATCCCCTGGCAACAGTTATTGACAAACTTGGATTTTGTAAGGATGGAACACTAAATCCTTCTTCAATATGCGACGTACAGAGGACGCGTGGATACCTAGGGAACTGGCACGCAAACGGACGGAACGATTCGGGCTTTGCAGCGTGTCAACTCTCACTCTCTCTGCCTACGTTTTCGGGGGTTCTAACAGTACGGTTTCGCCCTGGCGGTTTTTTCTTCATCACATTGCCTGTTGTGTTGAATGCTTCCACCCATCTCAAAATGTGACAGTCTGTTACTGTCCCACGACGTGGAACACGAAAGTGAACGCGAAACTCACGTTGTGTTCGAACGACAGACTCGCCATTTTGAAAGTACCGACTTACAGTGAACTCACGATGCTCAACGTTCCAAACCATCTTGCCAACTGAAACGGCACTTTTCCCACTATCCAACACGCTCTTCCCCACCGACACGGGACCAGCCCACTCGATGTAGTACCCATTCGAAAAACATGCGTTCTTTCTGACGGACCCTGTATATGCAGAGGGCGAAGATTCAACGTACCTAAGTGAATCTACCTAATCACGAATCGATTTCGTCTTTTGAAACAATTTGAATCATCCCTTTCCTTTGAAACCTGCAACGAAGACATTCGAAATATAGAGTCAATTTACTTGACGCCATTTTTTTAACGTGGTACGCAGGGAACTGGTTAAAAGGGACGTATTTAAGCAGCTCAGTTAGTTCGTAGCTTGCCCAGACAAGCTATCTCCTAGACAAATGTGTCGTTTAATAAAGAGATCATGAAGACTAGTAAGATATGGTTTTCATCAAAGGACTGGCAGGTTGGTCAAGTTTGAACGCTAGTTGTTGTTACGCTATAGGCGTATTTTTTAATTCACCAGTTGAGCCACCGGTGCAACCAAAATTTCCGTCTGAGCGACCGGTTGTACACGAAACTTGTCTATAAACTATATAGACAAGTTTATAGACAAGTTTGGTGTACAACCGGTCGCTCAGACGGAAATTAAAAGAAGAAAAATTGGTTAATTGCTTGCACCGGTGGCTCAACCGGTGAATTAAAGAATACGCCTTATGCTACGCCTATTTTGCATGTGAGCCTGGCGTCGAATTTTTGGAAAAGTTGTCTTACCTAGTCCATATGCAAATATTTACTTAAGAATCACGCTTGCCGAGAAACCGTTTACAGAGACGTAATCATGAATTGTCGACAACTTCCGTATTATTATTTTTGTCATCCCATAAGGCTGTAATAAGCACGTTCTTCACTTCCGTCATAATGAGTTACGTCATTATGGTTTTTCCGAAATAACACAATTATCAACTCTTTTTTAATAGTGTCAGATACTTTTTGATCATGCGCGGTCCGTTTCTGTATCATTTTCCCAGACATCACGCAAAACTATCGTATTAAGATATTTGATAAGTATGCTGTTAGCATCGCGAAAGGTAATTTTGAATGCTGTTGGCTTTCGTGTTCTTTAATGAAAATCGTAGAATTTTTAAATAGGTGGTTTTGTAAAACAATTAGTTTTATGAAACATGAATATTCTTCAGGATTACAACAACATCACGTCAGAGGTAATTGAAATTATTTATACAAGGCTAGACGATAGGAAGAATGTCGCCAGCATTTTTTTAGAAACCAGTGACGTTTGGTAGACAAGTTGCGTCAAGTAGATTATTATATCATTTTATTCTTTGCCAGATAATTCAAAACAAGAGTCCCAATGTTGTTTGAATTTTTCCTAACGTTTCAGCCAAAGTACTTTGAAAACTCAAGTCTACATACGTAGTTCAGTTCAGCATGGAAACCACATGATAAATTTCAAATATTACATTAAGTAGTATTGTTTCATATTTTCATAAACACAAAGTTTCACTTTAACGCCATTTTTTATCGTAGTTTTACACTGTTTTTACGGAAATTGCGTGATATTAAACTCCTGTTGCTCACGTGAGATTGGCTGAATACTTCACATAATCAATATACGTCCTCTAAGGAGGCATTTGATTAAAAAGGCCGCCTTCTTTGATATCTGTTACTCTCAAGTAACAAAGCAAATAAGGTTTTCTCACAATAAAGGGGCCTTGAGGAACAAATAACATCGACCCCGAATGATCAGCTAAATCATTTTTACTATATAAAACGCAATTCGCGTAATTATCTGATCATGCATAACAATTATGTTTTGAAAACAGAAGCTTTAGAATGCAAAAATGGGGATATAGATGATATCTTCAAGGATTCCTTGGAAGTATTTTTATGAGGTTGTTAATCCCATAGAGCGATGTTTGTCGAGCATCCATGGTGTTTAAGGTTAATAATATAATTTCAACCTGTGATCGCAAATGATTTCAAAAATATCAGCTTTCTTATAGAATAGATTTTTATTAGCTTCAAAGTGTACATAACAATGTAGCTGTAAAGCTAAACATTCATATAGAGGTTGTCACAGAAATCGACGTCAACTTGAAAACCTGGGATAGGCCGAGTCATAATAGTTATAAGTGTAGGATAACAACGAGATATGATAAACGTAAAAACCACAAACCCATCTTAGAAGGTTTCGAAGTACCACCCTGTACCATTCCATTTTTACTACATGGGCAGTACGTAAATAATTCTGTATGGGCAACAATGTCAGGATAATATTAAAGCCACTTACTTGGTGATGGAACGGCAACGAGTTATCCTCCTTTGGCAAGCGATAAGGGCGATATGACCGGATTGTCGGGGCCAATATCAATTTTTAGATAAATGACTTGAGTACCTCCCATATTCAACCGACTCATAACATGCACTACCTTAGGATTACATTAATTATCCGCAGTGGTACCAATTCATCGTTATTTATTTTTAATTTATCATATACTGGTCCGCAGACCCTAAGAGCGGGGGAACCCCCCTGGGACACAGCCCTCCACAGCAGCCTATGTGATACCCAGGCGTATAGACAGATATGCTGATTTTAACGATTGTGACTAAAAGCAGTCCAGGATCCAGGATATCACGTTGGCCAACGGCCGTTGTGTCAATACCTAAAGGCTCCGACTTTACCCCTTAATCAGAGATAACCGAGCAAGATGACACGCTTTAGAATAACAATCCCTACGCACATCCTGCCATGAGATACATTCAGATGCCATAGATTACCAAGAGAAGATTCAGATGCCAGCGATTACCAAGAGAAGATTCAGACCTAGGACGCCACTTCGGCCAAAGGCCACCGTGTCAACATCCCAAGCGCTCCAACGTTTCCCCTGATAGAGGAAACCGAGCAGTAATTAACCTAAACCCAGCAGTCGGGTACCGAAAGTCCCATAACAACCCCCAGAGACTGGAGGCGTCACCCCTGTATGAGCCACCTAATTTCCCTATCCTTATCCGCAATTATTGAGTCCGTAAGCCATTGATAGAAATATGATCCAAGCATCTTTATAAATATGAATATGCTCAAAGCATCTTGATAAATAGGGCTATATGATCAAAGCTTCTTTATAAATGTGGCTTACGACATTCATGATCATGAATATAAAAGTATTATAGCTATCAATCCATGCAGTACAGCAGAATAAAGGCAATACTCAATGATTGCTCACCTTTCAGGTAACCAAAACATTACACCCAATAGCACATCAACACTGTAATTAGGTCCACAATGCGCACTACTTGGTCTGAGAAGCGTTGGATTTCACGCACTATTTGAACTCTGATGCGATTCACGCCCACATTTTAAGAAAGTTCATCCTAGGAACAAGTGCCCAGAGAACGAATGGAATGTATAACATAAACAGGCGTAAGGGCCGTCGTGCTGAGTGACACTAAGCAGACTTGTGAACCTTCTGGAAAGATTTTGTGTGCTACAGGGTTGAACTTACATGCAAATACTCGTATGTGTTTGAGATATTTCGTAAGCGTAGATTAGAAAAAGATAAAAAATTTAAGTCGGGTATTTTTCAAATTATAGACTTTAAAAAAATCGAAAAAATGTACACCTCATGATGATCTTTTAGTTCCCATTTCTGCAAATTTCACTTCATTTTTTCTTAGACTTTGTAAAAGCCATTCAAGAACTCTGGCAGCTCGAAGGGTATAATGATTCTCCCATTTAGATTCCCGGTCCACATGTTTACTTTAAACGATTCTGTCTCATCAAATTTTTCTACATGCCACTCGTGAAAGTTGTGTAGATTCATGTAACCATCTTGTTTGATGTCGACTCATCAGTTCATAAAATGTTCTTTAAAAATCGCGGATGTTCCGGGTGTCTCTGTAACATTGTTTCATAAAGCTCAACTCTTGGAAGATAATCTTAGAGTTGTAGAGATTTGTGCTTGCTGTACGTGGTTCGGGTGGAGCTCGTTCTTTCGCAAGGCGGTGGGCTGTACTTTTGGACACACCATGTGCTTGATTTGGGAGTTGTCTCTCATTCACAAAAACTCGCTGATCGGGATGACGAGCAGCATTTGGGTATCACTCACGATAAAGCCTAGATGCGGCACTAGCATTTCATCTACATTCCCCATAAATAAGGTGCATGTTGACGTATTCCTATACACAATCATGAATTAATAAAAGTGGTGTAACTATCCATTTTGCTGTCACTACTTAGAATGACACTGTCCATCACTCCGTCTAAATAAAAAACAGAAACTTGTACTAATGGGAACTCAGAAAAAGAACATCATGTGTAGATTTTTCCGATTTTTTTTTAAAGCCTACAATTTGAAAAGTGCACGACTTATGTTTTTTCAATATTTTTCTGATAACTATTATGACTTGTTCTATCCCCTCCTGTCTGGCTTTATGTCGACTTCTGAGACATTCTGTACAAAAAAAAATTAAAAACAAAGACACTTAAATAGACATCATAGTAGAAATTAAAAATCAATGTATTCATTTGTGCACCAAACTTTCGTCAACAGAATAAAGCAGCAAATATTTTTTCAATGATTGAAATCTAAAAAATTTAGTTCCTTAAGCTCATGCGGTAGGGTATTGTACAATTTTATATTACGGGAGTTTTCAGCAGTCCCTGTCAGTCTGAATCTTCGGCCCCTGTAAATGTTATAAGAAATTTCGAATAACTTTTTGCTGTCCTTTAAGTTTAATGTAATCAGTTTTTGATCATTTTCGTAATTGTACTTTTTAAGAAAGTTATAATTTGAGAAATGAAGTTTCTCATAAAAGCAATTGTAAATGTAAAGCATGTGACAATACAATTAAACTTTCAGATATTGATATAAATTCTGATAGGAAATCACTGTCTTAATCATATTCCCGCAAATTGAAAATAATACTGGATACTGAATACATACAGGGCGTCCCAGAAATAAGACGCCAGGGTGACACGGGAGGTAGATTGGCTTCAGATAAATCAGATAAAATCCAAGTAACCTTAGAAAAAGTTTTCTTTTACTAAGGTCATATTGATTTTATCTGATTGATCTGAAGCCAATCTACATCCCGTGTCAGTCTGACATGTTATTTCTGCGACACCTCGTATGTACAGAGAATGGGAATGCCCTAGCTTGAGTATATTACACAACTATAAATAGAAATCTGCTCGCGACAAACATGTAAGACATCAAGATGCACGTTTTTCTAATGCTCCCAGACATGCTGGCAAAAATAAAATGGCATAGTCATAATTGTCCGAAGGACGTAGCTAATTATTTTAAATATAACACGGCTGACATATTTTTTTTTCCAGTGTAAGTGTTCATTTGTCGCATTTGTAATAGAATTATCTATAGGACTTTTTTACTTGGGAATTACAGAGGAGTTGTTAACTATTTTTGATTTGAGGCGTCCTTCTTCTTGGTTATCAATTGTTAATTCAACGCTTGTTGTTTTTTTTTACATGGGTATAGGACAAGTCATAATGGTTATTAAAAAAAATCGTGTACTTTTCAAATTAGAGGCTTTAAAAAAATCGGAAAAATCTACACCCTGAGATGATCTTTTAGTTCCCATTACTACAAATTTCAATTTTTTCTTAGATGGAGTGACGGACAGTGTCATTCTACGTAGTGACAACAATCAGACAGTAACGCCACTTTTATTAACTAATTATTGTGTAGGGCCAGCATGTCTCTGTACACCGTACAGGAATACGCCATCATGCACCTCGTTTATGGGGAATGTAGATGCAATGCTAGTGCTGCAGCTAGGCTTTATCGTGATAGGTACCCAAATGCTGCTCGTCATCCCGATCACCGATTTTTTGTGAATGCGAACCGTTTACTAACAGACGTACGACTCTCAAATCAAGCACATGGCGAAGGAAGAGTTTCCTTTCCTTACGAAGACGTCGTACTACAAGCAGTCGAAGACCAGAGTACTTCAGCACGTCAAATAGGAGCAAGCACGTTATTGCCCACCGAATCTTGCGAAAGAACGAGCTTCACCCGTACCACGTGCAGCGAGTACAACCCCGGGATTATCTTCCGAGAGTCAAGTTTTGTCAAACGATGTTACAGAGACACCCGGAAGATCCTCGATTTTTAGAGAAAATTTGAGATGGTCACATGAATCTACACAACTTAAACGAGTGGCATGTAGAAAATTCACATTTGATGAGTCTAGATCACAGTATTGTTTTAGAGTAAACATGTGGACCGGGATTGTAAGTGGGAGAATCATTGTACCTTTTGAGCTGCCAGAGCTCTGGCGAAATTTATTTAGACTTTTTACAAAATCATTTACCAAATTTAATGGAAGATGCGCCACTTATCATTTACAGAGACAGAGACCAGCAAGACGACAGCCCGGCGCACTATGCCCGTTCAGATAGGGAATACGAGGTTTGTTCAAAAAGTATCGCGAATTTAATGTTTTTTCATGAACTATTTATTTACTCATGAATATCTGTTTTGTCCCCTTCAAAGTAATCCCCATCAGACATTATATACTTGTGAGAACATATTTTCCAATCCTCGAAGCATTTTGAAAAATCATTTTTTGTGATCTTCGATGCAGTCTTTATCTCCTCAATCGTAGCGTAGCGTCGTCCTTTCATGGGCCTCTTCAGTTTCGGGAACAAGAAAAAGTGACAGGGTGCCAGGTCTGGGGGAATACGGTGGGTGAGGCATTATTGGAGTGTTGCTTTTGGCCAAAAATTCGCGCACAAGTAACGATGCATGAGCAGGGGCGTTGTCATGGTGCAAAAGCCAATTTTTGTTCTTCCACAAATCCGTGCGTTTCTGGCGGATTGCTTCTCGCAAATTGCGCATTACTTGAAGGTAATATTCCTTATTGACCGTTTTACCCTGCGGCAAGAACTCATAATGCATCTTGCTCCTGCAATCGAAGAAAAGCTGTCAGCAAAAGCTTCACATTCGACCGAACTTGGCATGCTTTTTTCGGTCTTAGCTCGTGCGGCAGTTTCCATTGGGATGATTGAGCTTTGGTTTCCACGTCATAACCATAAACCCATGATTCGTCACCGATTGTGACTCTCTGGAGCAAATATGGGTCGTCACCGACAGAATCCAATAGCTCCTGAGCAATGTTAATGCGATTTTGTTTTTGGTCGACATTGAGCAGTTTTGGTACGAATTTCGCGCACGAGCCAATCGATATATTTAACAACTCCTCTGACGGTGATTCGACGATTGGCCAATACTAGTTTCTTTACTTCATCAATGTTTTCGTCAGTCTTCTCGGCCCTCTGAGAACATTTTGTACCACCGATAAACGTTGCTTTTGTCCAAAGTAGCTTTGCCGTATGCAACAGTCAACATTTGGAATATGTCCGCGTACTACAAGTTGTTTTTTACACAAAATTTAATACAAATTCTTTGATCCATTTTTTGGAATAGACAAAAATCGGGACAAGCTAAAACACGTCCACGCACAATAGCTGTCAAAAACTGATTGAACATCCAAAATGGCCGTTATTGTCAACATTAGTGAGGGTCATGAGTACAAACATAACGCCACAAAAAGATCAAAAATCGAACACGTAACCCGCGAAAATTCAAAATTCGCGATACTTTTTGAACAAACCTCGTATCCTAATGTGGTATGCCCGAGTAAATGGATAGGACGGTCTGCTACAATTTCGTGGCCAGCCCTTTCACCTGACTTAGATCCAATGGATTCTTTTACTGGAGATCGGGACAGAATAACGGACGCAGCTAAATTTGTAACGGAAGATCCGCCCGTCTGATAACCCGATCATTTTTAAGATGTCCAGCTTACATTGCTGCTGAAGGAAGACAGTTTGAATATTTATTGTGAATTATATGATACATTCACGAATTAATGAAATTGGCATTACTATCTGTCTTGCTGGCACTATATAGAATGATACCGTCTGTAAAGCCGTCTTAGAAAATTTGTAGTAACGAGAGTTATAAAATCATCACAGGATGTAGATTTTTCCGATTTTTTTTAAAGCTTATGATTTAAACAGTACACGACTTACATTTTTTTATATTTTTTTATGACTAGGCCTTTCCCCCGTTTCCGACTTGAAGTCGAGTTCTGTGACACCCTGTATATGCATAGGAACGCTACTCGCGCTGATGTTTGTATTGACGGGGAGTAAATTATGTACCAATACAAAATAGTGCTCTTATCGTTGTGAGTTTGCGATACTTGAGAGTCAATGTTGCTTGTCGGCTGTCCCTGATTTTTTTCGTTCACATGAAAATTATTAGTGTTAAATATCTCGCGCTCTTGTGGTTAAATGCTTGTACGAAATAATGTCATTGTTTTTTTTTTTCAGGCATGGGGGTGTCATGGCTAGCCCAAGTGCGCTGTGTGCACTTGGCACTGTTCGCACTAGCAATGATACCGCTCTTCATATGTCTATCCTATCTAAATACAGAACAATTACACACGACGATATCTCCTTTACGAACATTCGAGATACGATTGCAACATTCTAATAACACACATAGCCACAACCAGGGTCAAAGTCAGAGCCAAAGTCAGAGTGAACGGATATCACCACCAGTGGCAGCTGCCAAACACGCTAGTGAGACGGCAGAAGCACCTTCAGTTCCTGTGCTGTCTCACGTCTCAAATGCCAACAATTCGAATAACCAGGTGGGTACATTTGTACGGACGAATATTGTTTAAATTTTTACTTCCTACGCCAATTGGCGAGGTGGTGTCTATCATCCAAGAGATTGATGATTGAGTTTTTGTGAAATTTTTTTTTTTATTACAGTAATTTAAGAAGTGCTATTCGCTCACACATCTGCCTTTTTTGCCTCTTTCTCTAGACTTTTTCATTTTATTTATTTATATATATATATATATATATAAATATATAAATAAAGAGAATATGATCATGCGGAGAAAGTATACAAGTAGGAAAATAATGGGCAAAATCCGCAAAAAGGAGGAAAGTGGATTCGAGCAGAAAATAGGATAGGTAACCCGAGCGATACGTATTTCTGCTGGTTGGCTTCATCAGGCCCGAAATGAATGCACATATGAAACTACAAAAGTAGATACACATGCCCACACATCCGGATACGGGTGTAACCTGAGGAAACGAAGTTGGAGGGGAAAAAAAACGTGGTGGTGGTTAGACGTCTCCTTGAAAATTCGAGGTCGTATAGCCATTTTATACTACAATGTGTAGGTTGGCTATTGTTGTGGACTTCGTGTGTCGTTTTTTTTCTCTCCAACTTCGTTTCCTCAGGTTACACCCGTATCCGGATGTGTAGGCATGTGTATCTACTTTTGTAGTTTCATATGTGCATTCATTTCGGGCCTGATGAAGCCAACCAGCAGAAATACGTATCGCTCGGGTTACCTATCCTATTTTCTGCTCGTATCCACTTTCCTCCTTTTTGCGGATTTTGCCCATTATTTTCCTACTTGTTGTTATATATATATACAGTACCGAGCAAAAGTAGAGAAACATTTTATTTTTTTAAACTATTAAAGTAAACAAAACACTTATGTTTTATTATAACTTAATGTAACATGTAATTTCTGCTTTAATAAAACTATGCTTACAATTATTATTAGAAAATAATAGAGAAACATAATATACAAAGCAATTGTCGTATACAAAGAAGCTAATACTTGGTTGCATAACCTTTATTTTTGACAACTGCTAGACATATTTTTCTCATAGAACCAATTAGGCTATCTATCGTTTCTCTTGGCATAGAATTCCAGGCGACTTCGATTGTTTCAAATAGTTCGGTACTATTTTTGAACTTCTCTGGATGTTCAGTCCGAATTTTTTTATCAACTAAATCCCATAGGTTCTCTATGGGGTTAAGGTCTGGACTCTAAGCTGGCCACTTAATGGTATTAATATTGTGATCTGCAAAACATCTTTTTATTATTTTCGCTGTGTGCTTGGGGTCGTTGTCGTGCTGGAACTGCCAGCGTAGAGGCATGTTTTCTTCTGCGTAAGGTAGCATGATATCAGTTCATATTTCCAAGTATTTGTATCGACCCATAATTCCTTCAATTTTGACGATGGTTCCCATTTGAAGACCACAGAAGCAACCCCATACTTGAACCTTCCCGCCTCCGTGTTTGATTGTGCCCAAAGTGAACTTAGCAATAGAAGTGGGAGTTTTAGGGCAAGTTTATGTAGATCCTACGTTAAGTACCCGCAAATTGGAGACTGTGTGTGGTGTTAGTCCACGTACTGTCCAACGGATTCTAAAGGCCCGTAGTTTTCATACGTATAAAATTCACCTGGTACAAGAACTTAATGAAGACGATTTTGATAGGCGATTACAATTTTGTGAAGATATGTGTGAACGAATTATAAACGATGAACATTTTCTATTCAACACTTGCTTTTCCGACGAATGTTCCTTTTTCTTAAATGGCGTAGTAAATCGTCATAACTGATATTGGTCCGATTCTAATCCCAGAATTTATCATGAGGTTCATTCACAACAGCCACAAAAATTAAATGTTTGGGTTGGTATTTTTGGCGATCATTTAGTTGGTCCTTTTTTCTTACCTGGAAATTTGATCGATGAAATGTATTTGGAATTACTGGAAGACGCCATATATTCTGCATTAACAGCCATAATTGAAAATCAGAATGACCGGCGGTACATTGCGAATAGGTTGATGTTCCAACAGGATGATGCCCCACCACATTACGCATTACGTGTTCAACAATATTTAGATCAGACGTTTCCAGATCGATCATAGTTGGTAGAAGAGGTGCCACTGAATGGCCCCCAAGATCGCCAGATTTATCACCTTTGGATTTCTTTATGTGGGGTCATTTAAAAAGCAAAATCTATGCTACTCGGCCAACATCATTAGAAGACCTGCGACGAAGAATTGTGAATAAGTGCCTTCAAATTACTCGTCAAATATTGCAAAATGTGCGGCAACGTTTCGAGCAAAATCTTTATTATTGCATGGAGAGTCATGGTGGCCATTTTCAACATTTACTTGCCTAACGGGTCAGTTCATTCTTGATTTTTAAATTACTTTGCTGCCAAATGTATTGATCTCCACTAATGATGATGTATTAGTTGTATTTAAGGTTTAAATCAATACATTTTCAAAACTACTGAACTGAAGTACATTAATTTTACATCATTATAAAGGGAATTGAAAGACCTTTAAAATAAGGTATCACTCGACCCCCCTTTCCATTTAAGATTTTAGGGTTGGTGTCCCCCTCGAAAACAATATCGACGGGTCTGAGCGTTTTTCAAAAAAAAAAACTGAGCTGCCAGTAAATGCGTCTGTTTCGTTTTCGATGCGCCACCCTGTATATATATATTTATGTGTGATTATATGTATAGCTATATCTATGAATCATATTCACAGTTTCTTTCCTATCTACTTAAAGCGCCTTTCCTTTTTGGGCAATAAATGCTTTATTTTTATTATTATTATACGAGGGTTGCCGCAAAAATAAGATTCCCGCTTTTTTTCGGGCACAAGGAATTTATTTGAAAAAACGAATTCACCATTGGAAACGTTGATCTTTAAGCTATTATTCTCCATAGTCGCCATTTTGCTGTACGCATTTTTTTAGACGTGAAATCCACTTTTGCACTCCCGAATCAAGGAAGTCGGCCGCCAGCCCGTTTAGAAACTTGGTAAATGTTCCTTGTCTCGAACCGTTGACTGCCTAGGTGATCTGTCAATTTCGGAAATGCTATGCCAACGCTGTAAGAGGGATGGGCAATGACTTCACAGCCAAATCGCTCGATTAGGTCCTTATATACTTCACTTAAGTGGCGATGAATTTCTATGAGTGGTAACCTTTTTGCGTGCAAAAATCGGATGACCGCACGAATTTCGCGCCTGGCGGTGACGGCGATTAAGGGCTCCATTGCGCATGGCTGTCGGGCCGGTACTGAGCATCGCAAATTATTATTACTATTATTATGATAATTGAGATGAGCAGAGTACACAGTACTATAAGCTCATGCAGTAAATATAGTGTACGGACACTTGTTGGGATCCGTGGTCGGGGAGCCGACAAACATGACTGTGTTGCCAGATTTAGCTTAGCATCACGCGTGGCAAGGATACAGCGTTGGGAACCTTATTTTTGAGACAATCCTCGTACAACGAATTCCAACCTCTAGGTGTTTGTCTCTTATTTAAGCGCGCCGAAAAAATCCAGTGAGCATTATTTGAGGCACAGTCATTAAAATATAAATTTGAACATATTTTTTTACAGGCTTCTGACATGACAAAAGGAGTACCTGCAGAAATGATCTACGAAGCAGGACATACGGACGTGAACTCTCAGATTTGTCCGAACCTGGGAAAGAATCTCAAGTTGCTAATTGCCATAACATCGGCCCCAAGTCACGAAGCGGCTAGACAGGCGGTACGGGAGACCTGGGGCCATTTTACTATAAGAAAAGACGTAGCTATAGCATTTGTCCTAGGAGTTACTATGAATCAAACCCTCAACAGTAACATTCAGAGAGAACAAGAAATATACGGTGATATTATTAGAGGAAAATTTATCGATACGTATGACAATCTCACTTTAAAAACCATTTCCGTACTAGAATGGGTAGATAATTATTGTCCCAAAGCATCATTTGTACTTAAAACGGACGATGACATGTTCATAAATGTGTCGCGTCTTCTAGCCTTTATTGCTAAACATAAGCCTGAAACAAGAGCAATATATGGTCGCCTAGCCAAAAAATGGAAGCCAATTAGAAATAAGATGTCCAAATACTACATTTCCCCTCAGCAGTACAAACCTCCAGTGTTCCCGGACTTCACGACAGGTAAGCAAGACGCCCACAAAAACCGTCAAGTAGGTCGAATACTCACACTTTACAAACATTTGCTTTTAGTTTTGAAACTGTTTATCAGCGATTGTATTTGAAAAATAATGAACATTTGAGGCATTTTGGAAGTCGACTATTCCAAAAGTGTTTCATAATCAGTATTTTAGAATAAACTTTCGGGTGGATCAACATTTAAACATATAGTGAGCCTACTTGATACAGATTTTCATGATATTACGATGTAGTATTTTTTGTTATAGTAGTAATAGATAATCAAAGTAAATTAAAAAAATAATTACGCTCTTGAGGACAATAAGAAAATTTGATGATTTAGATATGCCCGAATCGCTCAAATTGTATTGTATAGAAAAACTAGTCCAACGATTTGTTTTGAAATATTTTGCGAAATCAATCTTTACTCGTTAAAATTATATTTGTAGCATAGCAATATCCAATGACTGTTCAAAATAACTAGCTACGGAGATGGCAAATTGAATGTTCACCAGATAACATTTCGGCATTGTGATATCGAGCAATCACTGAAAGTTTCCAGCTAGAATAAAAAACTAAAATCTTACCGTCATCGACTGTCACACTATTTCATGTTTTGGAAACACCCTGTATGATAAGAGAACTTAGCACAGTGTAATTAGAAATGTTGGCGATCCTCAAATGTGGCAATTTTCATATTCACATAGACTTCCAAACGAACATGCTTTTCAACTGAAGACGATTTTCAGTAAAAATACCCACTTTGGGTCAAGGGATTATCAGCCCATTCCCGTCATTTTTTGATTATTTGTTATTCATTCATTTTTCTTTAATCTCTATACTCTAATACACTATTAGTATTGTTTAATCAATTGTAGCTTTGACATTAGTGCCGACTGAATCGCAACTTTTTCATTTTATGAACCTTGACTATACTGATGTTACAGTACTTATTTCCCAAATGATAGCGTTTTCCGTCCAATTTATATAAGAGGGTGATTCAAATATAAACGGTAATTTTGCGATTCTTCTTAGAATTCCATTCCTAGGTACATTATGTTGGGTGGAGTAGGTGCTTGGCTTGTGAGGAGTGAGGGAACCGGTATGGTTGGCGGGCAAGCGCGCTGTTGCCGCCAGTACAGCCATGACTGAGAGTAAGAACTACCTTCACCTGTTACACAACGGATAATAATAAAGTTTTTAACCAATGAAGGCGTTAAACCGTCGGAAATTTTAACTCGTTTGCGGGCATAGTTTAGAAACAGTATATTGTCCCCGACTCGAGTGTGTTCGTGGGCGAGAGAATTTAAGGGTGGACGAGAACCGATTGAAAACGAAACACATGATCGACGTCCAAGGACAAGCCTTACAGGTAACAACATTCATGCTGTTCGAGAGCTCATTGAACGTGATCGTCGGGTAACCGTGGAAGAAATTTCATCATAAATCGATATCAGCTATGGAAGTGTGCCCCTTATCGGAACATAAGACGACGCATGTCCATCAGGGATGTGATTCTCCTCCATGACAACGCTGGCCTCACACCGCGGCTTTGACAAGTGATACATGGGAAAAATGGGCTGGGGAACCCTCCGTATAGACCCGACTTATCCCCATGTGACTATTTTTTGTTTGCGCATATGAAGGAATCAGTGGGAGGGAAACGATTTGAGAGCAATGAAGTCGTCGAGGAGCACGTGCGCAATTGGATTACAACTCGCCCTAAAACTTTCTATGAACAGGGAATACTGAAGCTTCCAGAGCGGGGGCAAAGGTGTGTATACGTCGCAGGAGACTATATTGAAAAATGTTAAAACAGTAATAAGGGCATAATATTGTTCAATAAACGTACAAAAAAAATTACCGTTTATATTTGATTCACCCACGTATTTATATATATATATATATATATAGCTATTTTTGTGTTACCCCAAGAAAGGAAATGCTTATATCACTGACCACGAGAGTAAAAACGCCAAAATCCATTGAAAATTATCCGTTGCCCTTTGTATGTTTGGATTTACCTTCCAAAAGTTGTAAAATTATCAGCGAGATATATAATATATATATATATATATATATATATCTGATGTATATCATATTTACAACCACGGTACAGTATTTTTAAATACCTACGTGATTAAAGTGTATTTTTACTGGACTCTTTTATCATTTATTTCAGGTCCCGCGTATCTGCTTCCAGCAAACCTAGCGAAGGAATTGTACCTAACAGCATTGAACCACACATATTTCAAACTGGAAGATGTGTTTGTGACTGGAATTGTTGCCAACGAGCTGAAGATCAAAAGGATCCATGTGCAGGAGTTTTTCAACAAAAGGGTACCATCCTTCACCGCGTGTAACGTACAAAAGGAAATCAGCATTCACATGGTGAAAAGTACTGAGCAGTATGATTTGTGGAAGAAGCTGCATGAAGTTGCCAAGTGCAAAAAATAAGTGTGATGGACTTATTTATGAATTTTTAATTTAAATAATTTTTGAACTTCCGGTCATATAATGATCTATTTTATTAGCTTGTTATGAGCAGTATTTTATTTGAGTTATTTCAGATTGACTACAGTATTTTACTATCTTAATAGTCACCTAAATAAGAGCTTAAGTTTAAAACAATATACTCATCTGTGAAAATTTTGTATAATTATTATATAACAAAAAACATGTAAATAAAGTTAGTACTATAGTTTACATAATCAGTATAATTACAATCTATTGTAAATATTTTGTACAAAATACATATATTTCGAGTTAATTGACCTGACTTATTTCAAGCGTAGAGTTTCAACATCTAACACAATACGTCCATACCAATGGCATTTACGCCTCTTGATCGGCAAATTCTCGAGCCACTGTTGGCCACTCAGGCTGAATATGCAACAATAAGCACTGAGAACAGTTATTACTTAATTCAATTAGCATGCCAAAAGTAACTCAAAAAATTATCAGCTACATTTTTTTTATACCGAAGAAGCGCAGATAGAAGCTAAAATGCTAGGGCTACTATGAGCAGCTTACAGAAAAATGTTTAATAGTATTTTTCTCCTGTAGATTGTTCCACAATCTCGATACCCTAGGAACAAAGGAGCGGTCGTATCGACCACTTCTGGATGTCAGGCGGGTCTGTTTGGCGGGCACATTGCGCGGCGGCATCGTGGGGGAAAGCTCTGAGGAGCAAAGCCCGTTGGCATAGCGGTAGAACAGAGCAATATCGCCAACGGCCCGCCAGTGCGAAAGGGTCTTAGAGTAGAGTAATCGAACAGCATCGAGCATGGATAATGAAGTCGGGGCGGCAGCACCCCAAACATGTAAGCAGCATTCCAGGCTAGATCTTACCTGAGCGTTGTACAGAGTGAGGAGGTCATGTGGAGAAAAGTACTACTTATCCCTAAACAAATAGCCTAGCTTTTCCTTAGCAGCTGCCACTATTGAAGAGATGTGTTCGTGCCAGACCTAGCCCTCGGTGATCTGGACGAAATGAACGGCACTTTGGTAGAACTCGGCCATCCATCTAATCCGGATGAGCGCTAGGACGCTTTTTGTTTCGTCAAGGTACAAAACTGTGTTTTGGAAGCGTTAAAGTGTACAAGATTGTTGCGCTCCCAAGCAGTGATAACATCCAGGTATCTCATCAGAAAAGAAGTCGACTTCTTTTCTCCAACTCACAGGCAGAAATCGGCATGTCACTCTGAATTCTTGAATGTATACGTAGAGTGCTAATCAGCAAAGCTATGGACTGGATTGATCGACGGATATCTTACGGTCAGAGAGAAAGTCAGCCACCCATCTGCAAAGATTCTTTGGGATGCCATATGATGAAGGTTTGCGTAAGAGGGCAGCTTATGCCACAGCTGATCAAACTCTTTCGTGATATCAAGAGCAACGACATGAGCCTCACCATGAAACTGGTTGAGTCTATTTCATAATTGCGTGACGTAAGCTAGGAGGTCCCCCTATGGGTCGCTGGTGCCAAAAACCATACAGTCTGTAGCTAATCAAGCCGTGATCTTCGAAGTACTCCAAAAGCTCCATATTTATGCACCTCTCCATCGCATTACTTAGAAAGCAGATGTCGGTCTTAGATCCTGCATGCTTATATCTAGTATCCGATTTAATGCAGCAAATTGTTCCCTAATTCTTTAGAGCTACTTTTATTCTGAATGAACAATCTAGATCAACATGCGGACGAAATATGTCAACACCAGAGCGAGAATTGTGCCATCGAGTGTCAGTGTCTCTGACGCGGCGTAAATGCCACTTGAATATGATTCTTATTTCATTACCATGGCCATACACGAGATATTTCATACAAAACATCATGTGTAAATATTTTAATTCTAACTACAAATAATTATTGCGCAATAAATCGATGGACCTAGATCACTGGTTCAAATTCTCTAAAAAAACATATAGGAATTGTCAAACTTAAAACTAGGGACAAAATAACAGTGAATACAGTTAAAACATTAAAAATGCCTACAAGAGAAAAACTCTTCAACACTATAAAAACACTGATCGATCAGAAGCCTTCTCAAATTTCGTTTGAAGGACCTCACGCCCGTTTCTGATTTTACTTTATCTGGTTATTGAACATTTTTAAACCAAGGTAATTTGGTGAGCCTTGACTGCATTTATAGTTAAACATAGGTAAACGTAATTGGCTTTTTATTTGGGTACTGTACGTGTGAATATCACAGTTCTCTACTCGAGTGATGGCTACTTAAATTTGCTAAAATTTTTCTTTTAAGACACAAACACTTCATTTGCATGGGATGAGCTACCCCACAAGCAAATGTCATAACGAAATCTAGACTCAATCAGCGCATAATAGATATTCAATAAATTAGGATAGCTTAAAACAATTCTCATATTTCTAAAAACATATACATAAGAGGATAATGATTTACACAGCTGCTCACAGTGACTCGTCAACGCTCATCAATAAATACTCCAAGGAATTTTTTATCGTTTTGGCTCTCTAATACTGAATTATTGACATTTATACCAAATTGATCTAACTCGCGCTGGTAATTCTGGGATCTGGGTACTTCTGTTTTCTCGGTGTACAGAAAAAGGTCACGTGAGTTAATCAGTTCCGTCAAGAACTTTATGCATTTTACTTGGAGGACACCATCCTCTTTCGATGAAATAATGAAAGATATGTCATCCGCATAAGCTGTATATTTAATGGTGGGCGAAATATCTGCGATCTGATTGACATATAAAAGAGAATCGGGCCCAGCATAGTACCTTGTGGTACATCCTTCTGAATTGACATGACTTTAGAGTTGATATTGCTTCCGATTCTCAATGAAAGAGTCTATCCATTTTTGAGCAGCTCCTCTTATACCATAATATTCTAATGTATTGAGTAATATCTGATGATTAACGCAATCAAATGCCCCACTCAAATCACAAAGAATAGCTGCGGGGCATTCGCCTGCGGCAACATACTCATTTAGTTCTATATAAAAGGCAGTCATTGCTGAATTTGTCCATCTTCCTTGCTGGAAAGCATGTTGTCTCTTGGTAATTACCTTGAAGTTGCGCAAAAAAATCATTAAACGACCTAAAAATGCATATTCGAATGCCTTAGACAAACTTTCCGGCATAGTTACTGCTCTGTAATTCTTCATCAACGTTCGCTCTTTAATCTTATACAGTGGAATCACTTTACCCGTTTTTATTTTGCTGGGAAATTTCCCAGATAGAAAAGACATAAATATTTATGAGGTATGTAAGTGGTTCTATTATTTGAGGAAGAATTTTTTTGATTAAGAAAACCGGTATGTCATCTGCACTAGCAATTTTTTTTTTGAGCCTGCCGAATAATGAAACTATAGTAACTCATACTCCGTGAATGGTCTCAAAAATAACGAAAATGGATTGAACGTATTTTTAGAATTGAATTTTTATTACTATTTATTTCTTGCATGCTATCAACCTTCCTTTGAGCTTCGTTGATGAAGTATTTATTGAAGGGTGGGGCAATCTGACACGGATCTTGTACTAGTGTACCGTCAATACTAATTGAAATCTCACGAGTTTTTTGTCAACTCAGATACAGCACTCCACACTGCTTTCGACTTATTCTCGGATTTATTTATCTTTTCTTGGTAATATTCCCTTTTTGTTTCATTTACCAAGATGATAATATGATGTTTTTTGCCTGAAGGTAAAAAGGTTGTGGTTTCATTGCACCTCTTAGCAAAAATCGAGTCAAGCAGATTGACTCGACACATTAATATAAATGATAAATTCAACTGTTCAAGACACACAAAAATAGTTGGTGGATTCGAGAAATATTTTGCAGACACCGGAAATTTTAAATACGCGACATTATTGATATACAATATCTGCAAATTACCGAATTTCACAATTCTTGGGTCCCCTAAAATGTTTTGACTATGCCAACAGTAACCAGAAAACTGAAATATGTTCATTTAAACATTTAAAACAACTCCCGCCTCTCGATAGAATGTTTTTGATTACGCCCAAAAATCACCAGAAGCCGTGAAATATGAAAGGCTATAGGCAAAACTACACATGAAAATTACCCCTAAAAGAATCCAAATCTGGATCACTCCAAATTAAGGTATGTTGAGTCAAATTATCAGATATATAGGTCGCCCCTAACCTCCAAAACGTGTTTTTCCTTTAATATTTTTTACGGGCGCAATTTTGCTTAAAAAATTACCGATGCTACTCTTGTATGCTACCTAACCGCGATTTTTTATAGATTTGTGAAACTTGTGTTCGAGAGAAAACATTTTTGAAGTTTTTATTATACCTTTTCAGATCTACTGACAAATCCATGAGTGTTTGCTCGGAAAATCGACAAAAACAGGAAAAAACGCCAATTTTTTGACTTTTTACGCGTAGCGTATCATAAGTTCTGTATCTTAAAAACTGTACACATTTTTGTACTTTTGTCTATTCTTTTACGTTCCAAAATCAAAATCACTATTTCCCGAAAAATTGCGCAAATGGGAAGTCCGCATTTTTGCTGAATTTCTTCAATTTTTGCCTTAATTTGGATCGATCCAGATTTTGATGCCTTTAGAGGCAATTTTCATATGTAGTTTCGCATATAGAATTTGGGTGCGTTTTGAATTTTTATTTTTTCTCTCAGCTCTGTTGCCAGTGGATCGATCTCGATCCGTAGCATAGCAATCACCTGTCAAAATTTCATCAATACTCGAGCGGTATGTTCGGAATTATAAAGAAGGCAAGGAATTTAGTAGACAGGTAGAAATACGGATGTAGATGTCATATAAAATCAAAAACACATAATGTCTCGATTTCGCAATGTTTTCTACTACAAAATAATACAGTTCCTGCCCATAAAAAACTTTTTTACAAAATGTTCCTAAACAAACCTTCGGCGTCCCAAAAAGGGAACCAATAACTCGAAAACTAAATTTGGGGATCTTTTGACATTCTTTTTTAATTGTAGAATTTTTTCATAGATATATTGCACTACCCACATTCCTTTCAGATATAGCAGCGTAATCATAATAATTTCTATGCCAAATCCGTTTTCGATGTGCAGTCAATCAAAACAAACTTCAGCAGGCTAGTGCGTAAGTGCTACGCTTTGATTGATCGACTGACACGTCCCTAGGTAATAGGTAAAAGAACAGGTTTGGATCAACTATAGTTTTTTGCATACAAACAATTTGAGCTATGGTCCTTCGAGAGAAACATTATGTGTAACCATTTATTAGAGTATTCAGCAAGTGGTAGAATATCAGGGGCGCAGCTACTATCGTATCAACGATACAGGGGAGCCCTACGTTCGAAAAAAAAGTTCGTTAAGTGTTTTCCGCCATCTCACGCAAGTTTTTAGGCTGTAGGCTAAATTAAAAATTCTCAAGCGATAAACTTTAGATTGCACGGAGGTAACGCTGAAAATTTCGAAACACTTAAATCGTCTCCCGCGATGGATGGTTTATTAAAAAAAAATCGGGAAGAAATAGTGACAAACCTATTTTTAAATTTTCGATGAGTCAAGATAAGCCTTTTTGATATGCCCTAACCTGAACCTGAGAGTATGTACACTTTAACATTTTGCCGATAATCCACCCCCTCACAATTCATATTATTCAATGCAATCATTTATGTTTCTTTTATAATAATCTATAATTCAAAGTTTACTCCATCTGGGAATCACCACAGTTGGGTGGGCCCCCCTATAAATTTTGATATGAGGCCCCTGTGGAGCAAGCTACATCTCTGCGGGATATATCAATCAAAAGTGTGACAGATTTCAATGAACTTCGACATCGCGTACTTAAGGACTGAATACGGTTCTGACCAGACGGCACCTCGAAAATGAATTTGGTTTAGTATATTATGATATGTGTATATGTTATCATGGGCAGAAGTAAGGTAATCGCAACTTTTTCAAATAACTTGACAATATTGGGGAAGATATTCGAAAAAGTTGTTTGTATAAATGAAAACGTGACCCCAAAGTTTTGGAAAATCATGTATTCTTTTTATGACGCTAAATAAATATTGTCACCACAATACGGAACATCTACCGGTCAATTCACAAACCGTTTACAACCAAATTATAAGATGTATATAATAACATTGTATGTTTCTGAAAGAAAATATTTTTAACATAAATAAAGAATATATATACAGTGTGTGTAAAATAAATTAGCAGCGACATGATGAAAACAAAATTGTTAGTTTGTATTAGTTGCTAAAACTAAATTACATGTTTCACATAATATCGGAAAACAAGTAAAATGAATCGATCGAAAATCAATATAAATGTATTGCTATAATAAATAATAATAATAAATTAATGTCAACGCAGTTACAATGCTTTGATGTATGCCTAAATTTTCAACAAATACAACTATTGCAACAAAACTGGGCATATAATATTAAAATATAATTATTATAAATGTTAAACTACCACTAGTTCAATTTTCTTCATTTTGAGGTGGGATATATTCGAATGAGCTTACCTCCTGTAACACTAGATCTGGAACGAAATATTTATTAGATTTGCAAAGACATACTCTATGTGTCCCAGAAAGAATTTAGGATTTCCAAACTAAATTAACAAAAATCCTGACAGTAGGCGTAACAAGTAAAAAGGACGTCAAGTAACAATGTTGTTTTACACCGAAGCAGCCACGCAGACGGAAGCCTAAATGCCAGGGCACCGCGGCTGCTATGAGGATTCCAAAGAAATTTTGTTAATCCGATTTTTGAACTGTCTAAGGTTAGTAGAACTGGGAAAAGCCTCCTTGTAGATTGTTCCACAATCTCGAAAATGAATGAAGCGCCAGATATGCGGATTTTAAAAAGATACCACGTAAATGTCCCCCACGTCGTTGTACGCACTCAAGAAATCTGCTGATATCATTTTACATACCGCGCCGAGGCATATCGGGTTCAATTTTGCTCATTTTTTTAAAATTAGCGATATACTCCCACGGGGATAAATTCCTCATCTTTTGTGGAAACAGCTGAGGACGTTGGTCCAAAGCGGCCCTTGCAGCGATCCAAAGGGTTCCCATCTTGCGTCCGTGAATTGTACCCAGAATATTCTCTAGGCTGGAGTACAATATGCCGATATGCATCACTTATCGTTGTGTATCTCACATTTTCAAAGAAAATGTGCTCCATTATTTGCTTCGGTGATATGCATTTCCATCTCGATAATCAGATTTGACACCCATGGACTCTTTCCGTGGAGTATCCCGTTAGTATCCCCTTAATACACCGAGGAATAATAGTGGTGGTATGTTTCAGCTTGTTATGCAAAATGCGACCAATGATTAACAGGTTAGATGGATGCGCACAATGAAACGGAAAAAATCAAGATTATTTAATCTAAAAAATCCGCACATCTATTTCATTCTCAGAGAAAATATGTTTCCTGAAAAGTGATGTATTTTTTTGATTAGGAAATCCTAAATCTTTTCTTTCTTTTTTTTGTCGTAATGGGAAAGATAAAGTGATTATATTCCTAAAACGGGTCACATGAAGCAGACAGCGAAAAGAAGTGAGGTTTTAAAAATCGATTATCGAAACGATAGCGTTTACTTCCGGTTTTCCACCCTATATTTTCAAATTTCAATGAGGCAAAATTATTGGGTCATATTTTTTAGAGCAATCTCTAAATGGCAATGTCTTTCTTGCCTCTTTGGACAATAAATTACTGTTGTTGTTGGAAGATGTGCCACTGGAAACACGGCAAAACTTGTTTTTGCAGTTAGATGGTTGCCCAGCACATTTTGCTATTATTGTGCGAGAGCATATTAATGCAGTATTTCAACAGCGGTGGATTGGAAGAGGAAGTCTGTTTCCACGGCCTTCGCGATCACCTTGTATTGATTTTTATTTATGGGGGCGGTTGAAGGACATCGTATTTCAGACTCAACCTACAACCAGAAAAGATATGAAAAACCCGATTCGTAGTGCAATACGTAACATACCGAGAACCGAAATTGAAGCTGCAGTTTTGTCTACCCATGAGAGGCTTCAGGGATGCATAGACCGTGATGGTCAGCATTTCGAGCATTTACGTTTTTTTTTAAATTTCAAATTTGTTTTTTTTTATCAAAGAGTACAAAACATTTCCTACATAAGGCGCTATATTTCATATCCCACTATAATACTTTTCAATTTAAATACACGTACCTAAGCAAATGAACGTGCCCGAATAAAATCGCGTTTTCTCTTTCACGCCTGTGTTCCAATAAGCCCAATATGAACGAATTTTAAGACCTCACTTTTTCGTTGTTCGCTTCACGTGAAAAGGTAAAGGTAAAATACCGATTCGACCCAAAAAGTCATACTCAGGAACTAGCGCGAAATGGAGGGCTTAAATGCATGTTTCTGAAAAAGATATGCTTCGTACTTCTGGACTTTTTGGTCGTTTGTTAATTTCTCAGGGGTCTGAATCTGGATACTGTGATGATATGGGATGTTCTCTCATACCTCTCCACTTTTCAACGGGCAAATTCATATCCTCGATACTCTGATCGTAAGGTGCTGATATTGGTTCATCGTTTGGATCAGCATAAGCGGCTAGATAAGCATGTGCTAAGGCTTGTTCGGCAGTTATACGTTTATCGCTGTCTAATTCTAACATAAGGCCCAGAAGATTTATAGCTAAGGGGTTAGCACCAACTATGTAAGTATGTAAGTCTTTTTTAGGTATAACTGGTAACGACTTTATATAATTTCGAGCCTGGAATGAAAATATATATATAATAAACGATATTCTCGTTTGCAATAAGAGTTTGACTTACACTTTCTGACGTGATTTTCTGCATAAATTCATCACCTGGGGTTCCCAATATTTCCATAATCAGATTTAACTGATGAATATCTAGATGTATGTTAAGGAAAGTTGGTTTATTGTATATTTTGACCCTATTATGTAGACTCTACCGTTGCTTGCTATTTTGAAATTAAAAAAATCCCCAAACTTATTTATTAAAAAATGTACCAATATATGTATGTGTACATAGCTCTCAGCTTCCATCAAAGTTTTCAACAGCCACGTTTAAGTTGACATATAGTACTCCTAGGTCGATTTTGTCTTCCCGAATTACATCTTGCTAACCTGACCGGTTCAAATAATAAGTGGGGAGAGGGGAGGAATTTTTGAGAAGCACTGTATAAGGCAATTTTCAAAATCCCTTGTATATCTGTGATTTGGATAAAAACTAGTTTCCTATGGATATTGAGAATCTACGTAGGTTCCGAATCCGTCAATTTGGTGCTGCAATCAACGGGATTCAGCACCCCTATCTCATTTTCGTATCACAAGTATCACGAGAGAGAAACTAGCTTCATTAGCTGTTAAGATTGATGATTCCGAGATTTGCAGCCAAAGTGCAATTAAGTATCTGGGTGTGTGGCTTGACCAAGATCTAAAAAAATTGAACATATGAGACGCACCACTGGCAAGGTCGCTGCATCTCTTATACGGCTAATGCACTCTAACGGAGACCCAAGTAGTGAGAGGGGCAGAATTTTGACCAACTCGATTATAATAATAATAATAATAATCGTCTTTATTTAAACTGTACTTCATACAGAAAAACAAGAGTTGCATATGGTGGCGAAGTTTAGCAACATGCTACTCTTACACTTAACCACCCATGCAAAAAAAAAACATGTTGTTAAGTAGCAGATATCAAACAAAATATACATATATACATACACACGTACATACATACATATATACATACATATGTACACACATATGTACATACATATACACACATTACATACGTACATGTTGCACCAAGGTTTGCTACATGTACACAAGGGAAGTGAAGAATCACTTAACAATATATCTATAGCAATCTAATTAAGACTATGGATCCAAGTAAATATGAGATTTGACAGCTTTCTTGAAGCAATTTAAGGACATGGTTTTGAATTCAGGACTCAAGGCATTGTATAACACTGAAGCCCTGTACGTGAAAGAACGCTGGAATAAAGTTGTGGAGTGAATAGGTGTAGTTATCAAATCTGGAAATCTAATATGTCTATTATGAATATTACGCCTAAAGATCAGCTTTTCTCTTAAGTATATAGGTTTTGATATAAGTATCAGTTTATGAATAAAAACAAGGTAATGATATTTGACAATATTTTTTGTTATCATCCAGTTTAATTCAATAAGACTACCAGAAACATGGTCAAAGCGCCTTAAACCGCAGATGAACCTAGCGCAATTGTTTTGCACAATTTGAATCCGATTTCTAGTAACAACATTGAGACACGGATAATATAAAATATCGCAGTAGTTGAAAATAGGCATAACCAAAGATGAACACAGTTTTTTCCTTAGCTTATAATTGAAAATTGCTTTATTGGCATATAGTGATCGCAGTCTCAAGTAGGTTTTCTTCAAAAGATTTTTAACATGACTGGTGAATCTAAGTTTGAAATCGATTACCACGCCAAGAATTTTAACCTCGTCAACCGGGTACAGTCTTTGAGATCCAATTTTAATAGTTAATCGACTTTTAATTTCTTCTCTCCTACGATCCGAACAAAAAAATAACAGGCTGGATTTACCAGGATTTATTGACAGGTTGTGGTTGTTTGAGAAGTCATACACTTTTTGAATATCATGGTTTATTGATGTCTGTGCCATTTCCATATCATCAGTATCAAAATAATGGACCAGTTGAGTATCATCAGCAAAAGACTGGAGTTCACAAAAACTCACAGCCTTAGGCAGATCAGCAATATATATCAAAAATAAAGAGGGACCCAAAACAGACCCCTGGGGTACTCCAGACGAGATTTCTAGAAAACTAGATTTATTGTTTTCAATTGATACACACTGCGATCGATTTGATATATAATTTCGAAAAAAGTTCAATGCAATTGGATCTATGCCATAATACTTCAACTTTGCTATTAACAACTCATGATTTATTTTGTCAAATGCCTTGGAATAATCGATTGACATCACTGCTACGCCCATTTTTTTATCAAGTGCTCTAATAATATTATCCACTAAGTTTAAGAGGGAAGTAGTAGTACTGAAAGATTTCCTAAAAGCAGACTGATCAGATGGGATGATATGTTCCTCTGCATAATGCATTAGTTGTATGTGGGCTGCCTTTTCAACTACCTTCGATAAACAAGGCAATAGGCTTATAGGCCTTAGATCAGCAAACTCATCTGGATTTGATTTTTTTGGAACTGGTACCACAATTGCTCGCTTCCACGTTTCAGGGAAATAACCTCTTTCAAGGCAACTATTAACAAGGTGGGTGATGTAGATGAGAGTAACAGGCAGACTGAGCTTAATCATAGACAAGCTCAACCCATCAGTACCTTTTGCATCGGACTTAAAACTAGAAATTATTCCAGCGACTTCATGAGGCTCTAGAAGCCTGAAAGAAAATTTATTAATATGTGGAACATTTTCGTTATAATACCTTATGCTATACGGAACTCCTATATATAACAAGGCCTTGAGAAAACAGAAGTATAGACAGCTAATATCAAGAAGCCAGCGCGTAGTATGCCCTTACAGAACGGTGACGACCCATGCACTGGTGGTGGTAGCTGGTATCTCACCAATTGATTTATTCGCTGCGGATAGATGTGCGTTGTATGAAAAGGGCGTCGAACTGGCTATGGTGCATGGACCAGAAGGCTGATCCCAGATATTAACACTTAGATTGACAAGGGAGCGGTGCGGATAGATTACTATACTGCACAGTTCCTCACAGGACATGGTTGTTCTGACGGCTACCTGAGGAGCATAGGAAAGAGAGAATACGCGAATTGCGTATATTGCAATGAAGATGAGGATACTCCTAATCACCTACTCCAATGTGGTAGGTGGGCTGACTATCAAACACAGCTGAAACAGACGCTCGGCGAGACGCTCACTGCTGACAATTTTGCCACGCATATACGCGAGGGAAAAGGGTTGATATTCAACCAATAGTGAGGCAAATGAAGCTGATTAAGGTATGGGAGAACAAAATAGACCAAGGAACCAATAGTAAGTTCCTATTTTGCTCGGTTGTACATGTACATAGGGATAAAAGTATGTATGTGTACGATAGAGAATAGATGACTAATATCTTCGGTATGAAAACCTAGCGCAACGCTAGCCTTTGAGAAAGAAATGCTGCAAGCATTATCCTGGTGGGATGTTTGGCGAACGACTGATGGGTTTTAGTGAGTATGCCATATCTGGAGAATCTCACACCTCGAACAGGAAGGGTCGGCAGGCCAATACTTTCGAGTTTTTTTGCCTGAGAGTGGCTATAAAAGATTTCCCCTGTCAAATAAAAAAAAGTATCACGTATCTGCAAATAAATCGAGCACATAGTTTACGTATCGTCAAGTTTGACGAGTTTCTACGTCAAATTCGGCCCCACTTGTTCTTATAGCTACTAGTTACTAAAGGATTAAGGGTACGATCTGTGCCTGGAAACAGTGTCTTTCCAGTCAACAATTCAGCCATTATACAACCAACTGACCATATATCAACAGTTTGGTTATAATGCATCCAATTTAACATAATTTCAGGAGCTCTGTACCACCTTGTCGCCACATAACCTGTCATTTCGTTTTCTGTAGGCCTGGCAAGACCAAAATCTAATATTTTCAGCTCGCAGTCTTCATTTACAGCTATATTAGATGGTTTTAAGTCCTGAACATAAAATATCACAGAAATTAGTAACCAAAAAATAATGAAAATAAATTAATTTTAACTCAATAAAACATCGCATTCATTCTTACCCTGTGTATTATACCAGCAGAATGTATATACTTCAATCCTCGAAGTATCTGATATACTAAAAATTGGACATGATCATCAGTTAGTTTCTGTGTTCTTATGATATTGTTCAAGTCAGCACCCATCAAATGTGTAACTAAATAGATCTACAAATTGACACACTTAATACAAAAACTCTAATCTCACAGCAACAGAGAAAATGGTAAGACAATATAAATTGTTCAGTGACTAAAAAATAGACTCGATTTAGAGCGAAAATGCACGATATTTCCGCAGTCTTCAGTAATTCTTGCAATTTCCGTAAATCTGAGAAGAAGTAGCAAATTAGTAACGATAGTAGTGATAGGACACCTACCCCACCCCTTCCCCTATAAATAGGAGTAGCGAGAAAATTTTAAAGTTGCCATAAAGAAGAGCGAATCGTACGACCTAGAAATCGGAGATTTCACAAAGTCTCATGCCTTCATAGGTACACTTTATAAGAAAAAAAAGTATGAGTCCAATATGAGACATGATACGCACTCCAGTACCATGAAGATGTCCAATTTACCATACTTATTCACTGATAATAGAATTATTAAATAAAAAAAAAACTAAACAAGTAAACATCATAATAGGTTATAAAGGAGCAAAAAGGCAATACTTGTATCATGCACACATCATTGACACTGCTTTAATGCTTAGGAAATCAATAACGTGATCAATGATACAGGGAAAACCAACTTTAACTAACGGCTTGAGTTCAATGTGTACGATAGAGAAACGCAAAAAAACGTGTATCAACACTTCTTAGAAAGAGCCGATTGAAGAACGAAGGTCATCACCACATTGCCTAGCGACGGTGGCGCAGAAGATCGTGCAATCTGCCGCGTTGCCAATATGTTGAACTAGGTTAGGTTACTGTCAAACCCAAGAAAGAGGTCTGTTCGAACATTTAATTTAACATTTTGTTTTCATTTTGATTAGATTTATTTCGAAGTTGATGCGACTTACTGTTTTAATTTATTTTAGAATCACGTTTGATTTCCACCAATGGTGATAAAATCAACACATCCTGAGTTATTGTTACATTTTGTGTCAGCGAGTGGTCAGAAAATGTAACAAATACCATTACGATTTATCACCTCCTGCGTGTACGCAGGTGAAAACCATTTAGTAGCAGCACGACACTCCCCAATGAGCGCTATATGGGTACTGACCAAAATCATGGGAGTTGGAAACCTTGCATTCGAATGTTCGAGATGCGGTGTTGCCAAGAGAACCAATTGATGCAATGTTGCAGAATTTGTGACGATCCTGACCTTTCATTTTGACCTAAAATGGTTAGGACCGATCCGGAATTCAAAAATGTGTACGTTCAAAATAAAAGAGAGAAAATTTTTCTTGGCTATGGATGTTGTGGTTGTCCGTAGGTGGTAGTCTGTCTCTGCCTGTCGAACGCGAAGATACCACCCTGCGGATCTCGTAGGCGGAGCCAGAATGTGTGCATCTTGCATGCACACGTGTTCCCTCGCCAGAGTCCGTGTGGCGTTCCCCCCCTTTCCCCTGTATCACCCTATAGCCCCACGGTACCCAATGGGTGTTTAGGCCTTAGGCCTTCGTGGTAGTTGGTATATAAAAAAAAACATTATTTGGGCGTAGAGAATAAACTAACGCATATTTTCAACATGCATCTTACTTCAAGGAACTGGTGTAACATATTGACAAACGCGGCCCATTGCCGAGTCAGCGTTGCTAGGTATCGCGGTGATGAGCTTCGCTATCGAGCCAGCTACTATCTCTTTCTAACATATGTGTCTATACACACTTCTGAAGTACACATTGAAAACTTCATTGGCTTCAAAATTTAAAAAGTTAAGTGCAGCAAAGATATCTAGTAGGCAAACTTTTCCTCCATTATTTTCTCCCACTGTTTGGAATCAGAATTAAAATAAAAAAAGCATGTACTCAGAATCCTTTTATTTGTTGTCAAACTCGGACGATATGTGTTAGATCCCAAAATATGCGACGATTCTTTATATTAACGAAGCCAAAACGTAAATAATGATGTTCTACGACTTCTATAAACAACTTTAAAATATCTTGCTATTAAAGATCTAGGTTTAGTAGAAATGAAAATATATCTCTCTAGGTTGATTTTCCTCACACATGTTGTTACACTACAGGAACAAAGACTGGCCAAATTTTGACAACATGAGATCATATGTAGTAGTAGTAATAGTGGCCTCCTCTCCTCCCCCAAATACTTATCTATTGATAATTGATTGTTGAATAAACAAGCTCTAGGGACGCGATGTACCCATTCATCGTGGACCGATCTGGTGCATAACATGAGATCAGAATCTTAGTTACAGCGTATGTATTAATTTTCTCTATTACTGTAAAATAACTTATTTTTATGATTAATACCTGATTCACATCGTGTTTAGGATAAAATACATCTAACAGTCCTATCACATTTTCATGTCTCATATGTTTGAGCAACTTCAGTTCCCTGTATGTTCGTTTTGCATGTACTGCTGACTGAAATGGACGGGCCAATTTTTTTATAGCTACCTTTTTGTTTGTTACTGTATCCAATGCTGAACTAAAAATATATCATCTTTGTAAGATTACAAACTGTCAATTGCACCCGAATCTTCTAGTAACAGCTCAAATTGGGCGCAAAATTATTGATATTCAAATAGCTATTGTTGTGTTATTAAAAAAAAAAATACAGAGAAGCATACTACAGGTTGTAGTATTTCAAAAAGTGGTTTTCAATACAAGTAAAATATGGTATGAGGACTTCAGCAGGAAAAAATAATGATAGACTGTCGCCCAGCTGAAATAATTATCTTATTATTTAGACCTGTAGATATTGACCCTCATACAGTTTTCAAAGTTATTCGAATATAACTAATGCTGTCATTAAGAAAAAAATTGGCAGTTGTAGTTAAATGGAACATAAATAAATACAAAACGTATAGCGACAACGTGTTTGTTTGCATAACAAATTTGTATAATTAGTGTACATCAAAACCAACAAAAAATCTGATTACACATTTCCAATAAATTATATGGGTGAAGGTTTGCAACTTTTGTATTTAAATTTCTAACCTCCAAATTGAAGCTAGTCTTAAGATAGACGGATTATGCTTCATCGCGTCGCTATGCAAGGGCCAAACACGTTGCTTATTACAATTATAAATCCATGTGATCTAAAATTATGATTTTCTTTCAAAATCGTGATAAGTATGTAGGCGGAAAGTTTATATTTACCATACTTGTCCGTATGCTCCACATCCCACAGTAGATAACTGCTGATATCTTTCTGGAACTTCCCAAACAGTTTTATTAATTTCCACCTTATGAAAACTTGACATTTTCCTCGCGGTTGTTATTTTTATCAATTGATTTTTGTTGTGGAACAATTAGCATGAACACCTTTCAAATGATACTCAGGCAAAAGATACAGCACTGATTGCACATGCTCTGAGGCAGCTGATCCGTATATACCACGTGAGAAAGACAAAGACAGAGAGAAAAATTCCTTTCCTAGCTTTTTTCTTTTTAATTGCGTTTATTTAGAGGTACACCTTGGTTTATTTACACAGAATTCAAAAAGGTGTATTTGGGAAAACACGCAGAATTACTTTCATAACAAAGCTTCTGTAGCAAATATGTCGCTTTTGAAATAAATTTAACGATTCTGTAATTTGAGCAATTATTTGTTATTGACGCACAATACGTAATTTTATTTTCGAACAGTGGCGTCGCATGGTGTCCGAGTTGCCCTAATTAACCAAACAAAGTTATTTCGTTGATATTTATATAGCATGTTACAAAATGCTTCTTACAACGTGATATACAGGGTTAACATATTAAGACAGCGCCATCTATCACACCAGAAGCGACCACGGCGGAAAGCGTATAGGTGCTATTAGTTGGAACTGTAAAGGTCTATTCACACTAAGCCGTGACGTGACAGTGCCGTGATGTGCCAGTGCCGATGACGTGAGCTCACAGTGTTTTCAATTTACACCGATCAGTATTTTTCTCCGTGCTCTGACAGCGCAGTCGTGTTCACGTGAGGTCGAGATGGCAAAATTTTCAGAGGATGAACTTGCAATTATTGCATTAATTCTCCAACTACCACGAAGGCCATGTGGTACCGTGTTGCTATAGGGGGAAACACAGAGGAAAGGGGGGACGCCACACGGACTCTGGCGAGGGAACACGTGTGCATCATGCAACATGCACACATTCTGGCCCCGAGTATTAGATCCGCCAGGTGGTACCTCCGCGTTCGACAGTCAGAGACCATCTACCACCTACGAAAGATGAAGAAGAAGAAACGGGAAGATAACGGAAGTCCTTGTATTTAGAATTTGACTGGTTCTACAGCAAGGGATCTACGCGTACAAAATCAATTAGTTTTTCATTCATTCATGTTTTTGACCAGTTATATCAAAATATTCACGAAATTACATGAAAACACGGCCGTGAAAAGCGAAAAATGTCGTTCCAAAACAATGCGATGATCACGGTACGGCGTCGTCGAGGGCACTGAGAACACGGCCACTGCCACGTGCCGGTCTAGTGTGAATCAGTTCAACCAAATTCCAGGAAGAATGTTTTTAGTTTCGCCGGGCGGATCACGTGCCGGTCACAGCACTGTCACGTCACGGCTGAGTATGAATAGGCCTTTACGGATCTCTGTTCACGTTTAATAGCCCAGTCACCACGTGAACGAAGGCTGAGCAAAGCAGTCTTGTCACCAGAAATAGACTAGAAGGCGGTAGAGTTAAAAAATTAATGCTTTTAAATGGAAATTGATAAATTTACATCTTAATTTTAGTATCGTTTCAACTTCGTCATGAGCTTTAATTAATGATCTTTTTTTATAAAAAGTAGCTAATTTTTATTTCTTTCAGTCTCTATGATTAACAGCATTTGTCACCTTTTTCCATAACTTCTAGGCAACCAGTTATACAACCTTCTGCTTACACTTGTTTTCCGTCGTGGTTCCTTCCCGTCTCCTTTCTCATTCATTCACTCACAACTGGTTCGATTGGATCATAAAGATCCTGTAATAACATTCGTACTTACTGAACGAGTTTTTCAGGGAACAATGAACTAGTTAACTTAGTTCAATCTTAAGAATCGTTCGATTGAACTAGTTCGTTCGCGAACTACACACCACTTGTCTCATTGCAATCTGTTGAATTTTCGCATTCACACATGTAATTATATTGAATAAGAAAATACGTCAAAATAAAATTCTGACTACCCCAGGGGCGGATCTAGAAGATATTTTTGGAAGGGGTCCATATCGTGATTTGAAATTAAACAAAAAATAAAACATTCTGGGGGCACGATACATGTTCAGATCGTCTCCGAATTGAAAAACACGTTTGAAATTGTTTTGAACTAGGATATTTCGGGGTGTGGGGGGCGGACTCCCAGGACATCCCTCTGGATCCGGACCCCCAGGACACCCCCAAAAGGAAAAAATTAACGGACTTGAATCGGGGACCTAGATATGCATGAGGGATGCGAAAATCTGGGATACGGCATATATGCAAACACCAAAAAATACGCAAGAAATTTTAATCGGTAACCTTTCAAAACAACGCAGATCATATAAAATGCAGTAATTTGCTATACACATATTTCTATCGTTTCAAAACTTGAATATCTTTTCATTTTAACGTACAACTTTCAACAGAATATCATGCATGAATTGTCATTTTGATAGAAAAACCTTGCGAAATAATCAAATCATAAGTTCAACTCCTAATTTTGTTACAATACACAACAAAGATATGTTTCCCACTACAAAATGGAACATAATGAACAACGGTATGATTACACTGGCATATCAGTCAACTGGATCAAAAGAAACAGACTTACAGATAGATAATCTCTGATACTTTTATCTAGAACATAAATTCGTACAAATTGTTACACAGAACCTGAAAATAAATATACATGTTTTTCCCCCGAAGGGTAAAAAACATTTATTAAACAAAAATATACAGAAACCTAAAGAGATTTATACGACGCGTAAGGTTTATAAAGCAAATACTCATAAATAAGACGATTTGAATATGTGAATAAGGATAAACAAGCTAGGACTTGCACGCGCCGCAAGTAATACCTCAATATTAACAAGTAGACCTCTCTGAGTCATGCCTTACAATTATTCACTCATTGCCAAGCATTTGCTTCAACTCTCGTAAGTAAATGCTTATGAAGTGCTTACTTGGTTTTATTCACTTCACCCATTGTCTTCCATCTCTGTCACGCTCAGAGTCGTCCGGTCGCGGCTGCTGCTTGGCGCCGGCAAGCCTGCTCGCGCGTTTAGTACCAGTCTAGGTCTAAAAATTTAGAGTCAAGCTTCGGCAAGACCCAAAATAAATGTTTTTTACCCTTCGGGGGAAAAACATATATATTTTGTGTCTCTGCCTTCGCTTGACCCTTGTGAGAAGTGTTTGTAGTCTGCCGGCGCTATGAGCGTACTGTAATAGGTAAAAAAAACTTCCGTCTGTTTAGGAACAGAAATGTTATTGCTATGAGAAACATATAAAAACATTTATAATAAAATACCGATATATAAATGAAAAAACTAAACAACATCAAAATGCTCTGAAGGTGGGTTTTCATACCTATCGACAGATGTTATTGACTCTATTGGCTTACAGTAATACTTGAAAAAGTTCTGGCCACTCTGCCAGTTCTCTTTCTTCAGAATTTCGTCTATCGGCATTTCCAAACTAAAACGAGCTGATCCAACAGCTGAGCATATACTACCCGGACTCGCCACCACATTGATCTGTTTCAGACCTGTCTTGACCCATCCTACGATCACCGCTCTTGAGGCAGGACGTACTTTTCTCCTTGATGAAATAAACAGATTATCCAAATTCTGTGCAGCAGCTCGCCTCTTTCCTGATAGCGCTTTTAAAATTCGCAACCACTGAATCATATCCAAGATCTTGTCACCGTTTTCCGAAATCTTCCATCCTGATTGCCTGTTCGACGATTTGTCCGTCTTCGAGCCGAATCTAGGCCATAAAACGACCCACGAACCGAAATCCTGGAAGTACGAGCCCCTTCCCACTTCAGTTGGCCCAACTATTGAAATCTTAGTTTTTTTCTTATCAAACACAAATAATAAAAATGTAGCAGAGTATTATAGGTTCAAAATATACTAAGTGACATATAAATCCGAACACCCAGTTTAAATGGTTTTATTTTAATAAAAGTTGGTGAATGTATTTATCTTACTGTAAATAACAAGTGAAAAATTTTCAGCCTTATCAGTTGGACATTCCGGTTTTTATACTGCTTTTTTTTTAATTCAGTAATGCTCTAAAAATGAATATTTCAGCCGCAGTAAAGAATCAACGTTGGCGGATTTTGGTTCTTGATATCCTTTACGATCGGTTACAATGCCTAGAATACGGAGACCTGTACGATTTCGTCAACTTAGAGAGTTTGATAGGGGCCGTATAGTGGGACTTCGGGAAGCTGGACTTTCTTTTCGGGCAATTGCAGTTAGAGTGCAAAGAAGTATAGACACTGTGGTTAGGTGTTGTCAGGCATGGCTTCGAGAAGGCCGTGCGCAAAGAGCAAGGGGCACTGGACGCCGCCGTAGAACAACAGACCGTGAAGATCGCCGCCTAAGATTATTGGCCTTAAGGGACCGTTTCTCCACTACCAGGTCCATTGCAAATGAATGGTTTGCAGAACACGGAAGACCTATTGGCATGCGAAGTGTTTACCGACGAATGAGAAGTTTTGGCTTGTTTTCATACCGGCCACACTGGGTCCTCCCTTTAACTCGAGAACACCGACGTAATCGCCTTGAGTGGTGCAGACAACGGTCACTCTGGGATCAGGAATGGAACAGTATTGTCTTTAGTGACGAGTCTCGATTTTGTTTAGGCATGCACGATGGTCGTGCCAGGGTTAGAAGGCGACGTGGTGAAAGGAGGAATCCACAGTTTTTTGTTGTAAGACATGTTCATCACACTGTTGGAGTTATGGTTTAGGGTGCTATAGCTTATGGTTCCAGGTCACCTTTAATCTTCATCAGAGGTAACATGAACGCGCAGCGTTATATCCACGAAGTTCAAGAACCCCATCTTTTACCCTATCTTGACACCCTGGCAGATTCAACTTTCCTACAAGATAATGCCCGACCACATGTTGCAAGAGTCACAATAGACTTCTTTCAACATAATGATGTCACATGGTTACCATGGCCACCAAGATCTCCCGACTTATCCCCAATTGAGCACGTGTGGGATATGATGGGTAGGAGATTGCTCAATTTGCAACGTCCTCCTCAGACTCTAGAAGCACTTCGAGAGGAGTTGGTGGTTGCCTGGAATGAGATACCACATGAGGACATTGACCACCTGATCAGACGCATGCCTAGGCGCGTTGGCGAATGCGTAGCACATCAGGGTGCATCCACACATTATTAAAGGTCAAAGGGCTTTAAAGCAGTGCAATCATTTTGAAATTTTTATCATTTACTTATTATGCTTCATTAAGTACTTATACAAAATTTTATTAAAATAAAACCATTTAAACTGGGTGTTCGGATTTATATGTCACTTAGTATATTAACAATGAATATTTTGATAATATATAGTAGAAAACACCAACTTTATCACTCCCTAATCAAATTTGCAGCATAAAAATAACACATTTTGCAATTACAGCATATCAACCTATTTTCATTTCAATGCAAAATAAGTCTATAACGCATAGGTGGCTGTGAAAAATAAAAGCCATGACAATTGTTTTTATTAATCACAGCTGTCAGAATACGTTTAAAATAGTTTTGGGTAGTTAAGGTTTTCAAAATGGGTAGAAGAAAGGTTATTAGTGAGAAAATTCGGTTACTGATAATTAAATTTTTTCTGGGAAATCAAACTCAGAAATTGCAACTTTGTTAGACTTATCGCGGTACAGTGTGAGAAATATTGTTAGAAGATATAACGTAACTGGTCCAGTTAATATTAAGCCACTATATGTGAAAAAAAGTAATATCACAAATGCCGACCGAAGAGCATTAAGAAGAATAATCGTGGAAAACAGGCGTGCCAATTATTTACAATTAAGTGCTCTGTGGAGTGACGCTGTTGGAAGGAGAATTTCGAGGTCCACAACTCATAGAGAGGCCCACAAACTGGGATTTAGCACTTGCAAGGTAAGTTTTCTTATAAAAAAAGTGAAGTAAAAACCCTAAAGTTTCACAACTTGTTTATAGGCCAAAGAAAAGCCACTATTAACTCCATTGCAAAAGAAAAATCGGCTTAGATGGGCTAAAGAACATAGACAATGGACACCTCAACAATGATGAGCAATACAATGGAGTGATGAGGCCCGATTCGAAGTTTGTGTTGGTGACAGTCGCAGTAGAGTTATTCGCAAAAAAATTGAGCATTCCATGTTGACTGTCTGAAGAGAAAATTGAAATTTCCAGCATCCATTATGGTCTGGGGCAGTATGTCATCAAAAGGAGTAAGAAAACTTCATTTTATTGATGGAAATGTGGATACAAACAAATATTTGGCAATTTTAGAAGAATCGCTTTTACCAGTGATGGAAGAATGTGTGACATCCGGGCAAGGTTTTGTGTTTCAGCAAGATGGTGCAGCGTGCCATACCTCAAAAAAGGCTATAAAATGGATGGAAGAAAATAATGTACCACTTTTGAAATGGGTTTATAGCAGTCCAGATCAGTCACCTATTGAAACTTTCTGGCACGAGATGAAAAAGGTTCTACGACAACATCCTGCTCGTACAATCACCGAACTGAAACAAAAGCTTCAAGAAATATGGGATTGTTTTACACCAAATTTTTGCCAAAACTTGGTTAACACTATGCCCCAAATAATTTCAGCCGTAATAAAAAATAAAGGTGATGTTACCCAATGGTAATCTTTCAATTGTTGCTTTGTTAACTTCGCGCATTTATTCGCACATTGTTTATTTGTTCAGATGTTCTATTAGTTATAGGTCTAAGTGATTTCAAATATGTATTTTTTACGACTAGAGTGTATCTAAAACGTTTTTGAGAAAATAAATTGTTTTAGAAGTAAATATTTTTGTCATGTATTGTTTATAAAGGCATATTTTGGTACAAATCTTGAAGTGGGCCAACTGAAGTGGGGAGGGGCTCGTAGTTGTCATTGATAGATAGCAGTACCTCTTTGCAGACAAAAGTAGCTTCTCCGTCATTACGAGAAGTGACGTGGATTTCGTGCTTCGCTCGTTTCTTATATAGGCAACAACCGTCTGATTGTCGGATTGAATCAATACAGATTTGCGCTTCAGAATTCACCTGTGCTGTTTCAGAGCACTGAAAACGGAAACAGTTCCTTCTTGTTTATGTGCCATAACTTCTGTTTGTCCGTCTAGGTACCGCTGATCCTTCTGTTTAGCAGATGTGCGCCCCAACCAATGTCGGAAGCATCTGTCGACAAAAAGGTCGTTATCGGATGTGCAAAAATCTCCGACGTCTGTTCCAGGTTGTCTAACCACCAATAAAGATCGTGAATGACCCTTTGCGGGATAGGAAAAGGTTTCCGTGATGTGAGTTCTGGAAGAGTTTTGCCGGCTATCTGGATGCGCCGACAGTGCAACCGTCCTAGAGGTATCGCGAATCCTACGAGGTTTAATCTTCCAAGAATTGACTTCGCCTGTCTCCAATTCCAGGTCCCCGAGTTGATTCGCTTTTGCAGTTCTTTTCTGATGGAGTCTACTTTCCTCTGTGGAATGAACTTGCGGTTGCCTCTGGTGTCCCAGCCCAATCCAAAAAACTTTATTACCCGAGTAGGCTCCAAAATTGACTGCGAGATTTAGCTTCCATCCCAGTTGTCTCAAGAAGGTCACCGCTAGGTGTGTGTCGTTCTTTACATCTTCAAGGCTTTGTCCAGCTATCAGGAAATCGTCTAAATATACGATAGTTCTTACATTCTTTGACCTTAGCTGATTTGCTATCCAGTTTGATACTCTTGAAAATGTTAGGGGTGCTGTTGCTAACCCGAAAGGCAGACAGGAAATGAAGTATACCTTGCCCTGAATTGACAGGGCTAAATAACGCCGGTGACTCTTTGTGACGGGTATATAAAAATATGCCTGTGATAGGTCGAGCTTGACCATGTTGTCGTAACTCTGTAGAAACTATGGGACTTGATGATGGCTGATCAAATGGGATTTTCTTTAGGCTTAGGAAGGTATTGAGTCTTCTTAGGTCGAAAATAGGACGATTGGATCCATCTGCTTTTGGCACCAAGAACATTTTTGAAAGGAATCCGCATTTTACTGATACAGGAATTTCCTCTAGAACCCCGGTGGTCGGCATCTTTGAAATTTCCTGAGACATCTTTGTATCGAGTGGCGTTCGCAATCTTCGGCAAATGTCCTTGGAAAAAGGGATTGAAGAAGGTTTCCTTAAAAATGGTATTGAGTACCCTGCTATCATCTTTATTAACAAATCTGGCGCCTCTGCTAACTTCCATTTTTGGGAAAATTCATTGGTTGGCACATTCTCATGCTTAGTGAAAGGAGCCTTTCTTTTATACGCTGGTCTCAGATTCCCTGCTTGTGACTTTGACAGTTCCTATACTCGGTTCTCATCAATAAGATGAGATTCTGAGCGAGGAATTCTACTAAGCGCCAGAGCAATATTAGAATTCAGTGGAGCTAAATGGTTTCGACCTTCGCTCAATTGCTTCTGCCCTTTTCCCACAGATAAACTGCAACACATTATCCGAATTATGACGGAGGGCGCAGTCCGCACTGGTAAGTTCTTTTACTATAGTTTGGGCAGCTGCAGGGCACGCCTTTATTATGTTGTTGAGATCATCCTCAAGAGTAGATCTTTGAAGTAGTAGCCCGTGACAGATGGTACCGTAAGATCCCTCAGCTCTCTCCAAGAAAGCTGCATAGCTGCTTGTTGAAGATAAGTGTTTCAACTGAGGGTTCAATGTGAAGGAATTGAGAACTGGAGCCGCCTGTAACCTCTTCTGAACATCCGAGTACCTTATCCTATTCCAGGTGCTATCGCCTAAGCGCAGACATGACATACCCTGAGCCTTGATCTTAGACGATGGTTGAGGAATAGATGGCTCTTGCGCCCTAGTTTGAGGGGCAAAATCCACTGACACGTCCCCTACAGGCTGATGGAAAACAGCTGGCGCCTCCCAGTGGAACGAATCAGCATCCGAGTCATCTGCTGGTTTAGTCACCTCTTCATCCTCTACATACTCTGGAGAACATTGGTTTTCTGCTTCCGTCAGAGAGTCATCTGCAGGTTTTTTGGTTTGAGTCTAATTTCTCGTAACAGATTCTGTTCCTGAAGCACTACTCAATAATGAAGATGCCTCTTTCCGGGTCTGTTGGATATCCTGCATACACTTCATCAACTGTGCCACTAATTCGCTCTGCAAAACTGTACCTCTTATTTGTAGTAACAAGGAAGGGAGACTCAGTACCAGTCCCCGGCATAAGGGACATGAAAGCATCTTACACTTCATATCCCTGTATGGCCTCTCTTTGAGAGATGAAGCGTTCGGTTCAAAAGCCTTGGCAATTTCGATGGCTGGCAGACAGAAGCGCAGTTTATTCAGAACTACAGGTTCAATTATGGGCTCGAAACCAACTCGTACCTTCCAGTCTTGCCAACCTTCAGGTAGCAGCTTCAATACGGCATTCTTCAGTCTGGCGAGCACATCCTGAGAATCTTCCTCGAACAGCTCCCCCATGGTCTTGGCGGCCATCTGTATGCAAGAGAGGAGACACCGATTTCAGTATTATACATGAGAGCCAGAGTCAGAACTACAATAGTGAAGATTGATGGCATTCGTCAACTAAGCTTTCAAGTCTCCAAGACTAGCCGCATGGCTTAAAGCGAACCATGTGTCTCAAAGCTTGCCGTAAGATCCAAATCGAGCCGTAAGGCTCAAAAGCGAGCTGCAAGGCTCAAAAGCGAGCCGCAAGGCTCAAAAGCGAGCCGTAAGACTCCAAAGACGAGCAGCAAGGCTCAAAAGCGAGCCGTAAGGCTGAAAAGCGGGCCGTAAGGTTCAAAATTGGAACCGTCGAGGTTCTGGGTATATAGTTTTAAACAAAATTGGGCTGAAGCTACAGAGCTGCCAGCGTTCACTAAAGTTGTAAGCACTTTTAAACGTCATGCCGTGTACATCTATGTGATTTAAAGCAAGATATACAAGACCTCCGACTGAGACTTTGAGTGCTCGAGTCGTCTTGCTTCCTTTGTACCTGAAAATTAATAAAAACACACACCTCGGTATCACTTTCCATATCCGTACTCCAATATACACACACACACAGAGAGAGAGAGAGTTCGCACGTTTCGGGCACAATGTGATCCACGTTACGAGTAGAACCTGACGTGTGGGCAAACAAAAGCGTACTGAAGCGCGAGCAACCTTGGCGGCGCCAAGCAGCAGCCGCGACCGGACGACTCTGAGCGTGACGGAGATGGAAGACAATGATGTGGCCGGTAGAGAGAGAGGCACCTGATGTGGGGTGGTAAGTAAGGGTAGTAGCCTCACAAGGGTTAAGCGAAGGCACAGACACAAAATATGAACTGAAACACTTTTCTTAAGAACCTGCGCCCCCTCTAATTTGTATATAAAATGCTGTTGATAAAATTCACTACAATTACTATGAGTGTAGGTAAAAGTATAAAGTCAGCTTTATTTGTGGCAATAATAATGATACAGCTTATACCAGCCAGTGGAGTAGAAGAGTAGAGAAATCAGGTGAAACTAACAATAAACTGCAGTCTCAATATGGGAAGAAAGATGTATGGACTTTTTCACGAGTACCCATTACGTTTTGACGTCTACTGAGTTGATCAGCAAGTTCTATCCTTGTATTAAAGTCTCTTGTGTTGGCAATGATGAATCGGGTATGATTCAGGTAAAACTGGTATTCAGAACTGTTTATACCAAACAAGTCACTTGTCGATATGGGGAATTCTGAAATGTTACTAAATAACCAGTTGGTATTTGCTGCCACGTTTTACTTAATAGATACCCGTGAAAAAGACTATCTATCTTGTGGTCTCGGGATGTAACTTTAATGAAAAAAATCAACTTTTCATTTTTCAATATAAAAAATCGATTTTAGAACAAATAAATAATTGATTTTTGTGGGAAATAAGATTTTTTTTATTATTCGAAGAATAGCGAGGTTGCAGAGCATACGAAAACTGTTAAAAAAAACTATTCATGGGATTGGTGTATATGGTATCTAAGAGCACCTTTTAAAAATATTAAGCCTTATACAGGGTGTCCAATAAGTACCACGACAAACTTGAGGAGAAGGTAGGATTTGGACTGACCTCCCAAATAACAAAAACATACCTATATGAAAGCGTCACAGAACCTTTTCATCTGTGGTCTTTAGCTGCATGTACAAATAAGGTTATACTTTATTCATTTTTTCTATAAAATACTTCTAGATAGTTGCTTTATCATACACAAATGCAATTTAGTTAAAAGATATTAAGGAACCATGATCAAATAAGGACTATTTTGGGATTTATAACCTCCTGATATTTTTTCCTCAACTTTGCCCATCTGTGGTGAAACAAAAATGTACTGGGCTATAACTGCATTATATTGAATAAAAAGATTGCTCATTGAATTCAGATTTCAGAAAGGCACCACACGTACTATTTGGAATAGAAAAAAATGATAGCTGTTTTTGTAAGTGGCTGACACACACTACAATGTAATTATTGGATTTAAATTCAAGTTGCACTGGTTACCGATCAGTGACATGCTAAATAATACAAAGCTACATTATTATTACCTGCTCCTGATATGATTTTAGGAAACTTGGGGAAACAATATCAGAAGGTTATAAATCCCAAAACTCCTTATTTTATCATGGTTCCTTAATATCTTTTAACTACATTGCATTTGTATATGATAAAACAACTATCTAGAAGTATTTTTCAGAAAAAATGAACAAAGTATAACCTTATTTGTACATGCAGCTAAAGACCACAGATGAAAAGGTTCGTTTTTTTTTAAATTTAAGAAAAAAAAATAGAAATTAATTAATATTTTCAGAACCGCTCCAGATATTTCACTGATATTTAGTAGGTATAGTGAAAGTTAATAAAGTTGCATATTTTTCAATGCAAAAATAATTTTTAGCTTTAACAGTGGCGTGCTCACAGGTATTGACTTCGACATTTTTCAAGAAAAAAATGGTACGCCAATGGTTTTTTGCCAAATAAAAATTATTTTTGAATTCCCCGTTCAATTTAAAACAAATGATCTTTCTTGAGTTGTTTTCCTTCGATGCGCCATTTTTGAGTAAAAAAATAAAAACCGTTCTATTGTCCGAGAAAATTAATGTAATAATTGAAGAAAGCAATTTAGCAATAAATATCTAGTTGCTCTGGAATATGTCACTGGCTTTTGAGATCTGACAAGTCTCTGTTATTCAAATCTGTTCGCTGTGACATCTTTTTCATTATTTAATTTTTACAATCTTGTTAATAATGGTGAATTATTCAAATGCAGAAATGGCCTTGCCGACGGTAATAGTGAGCAAGCCAGACGGATTTATCTCCAGAGATATCCCGATCGTGCTTTGCCAGATAGTCGAACCTTTTCAAATATTCATCGTCGTCTTCTTGAAAATGGTTCTATCCGAAAAGGAACATCTGAAGGTAGACTTCTAAGTGTGAGAACACCTGAAATTGAGGAAGCAATACTGCACGAAGAACATCCTGGAACGAGTACGAGGAAGATCGCTATACACTTAAATATTTGCCATCAAATTGTTTGGAGAATTTTAGTGGATTTTTTGTTATATCCTTACCATATTTTAAGAGTACAGGCATTACATCCCATTGATTTTCCAAGGCATGTGACCTTTTTTCAGTGGTATCTTCAAAAAATTACACAAAATCCGCAATTTGAATCAATGATTCTGTTCAGGGACGAAGCTAATTTTTCTTGAAATGCCATTCAGAATTTCCACAATAATCATTTGTGGGCAGAAGAAAATCCCTAAGCCGTAACCGAAACCCATTTCCAACACCAATTTTCGGTTAACGTATGGGCAGAAATTATTGGCAACCACTTTATTGGCCCATTCTTCTTGCCGGGACGACCTGACGGACAGACTTACCTCAATTTTCTTCAACAACAGTTGCCTTCGCTGCTTGATGATGTCCCGTTAGTAATAAGAAACAATATGTGGTACATGCATGATGGTGCACCAGAGCACTTCAGTGTAGCGGTTCGTAATTATTTACAAACTGTTTATCCAAATCGTTGGAATGACCGCGGTGGGCCCCAAGAATGGCCACCAAGCTCCCTAGACCTCAACAGTTTGGATTTATTTTTATGGGGCTATCTTAAGGCACTAGTGTACACAAGTCCCATTAACACTGTAGAGGAATTAAGAGAAAGAATAGTTGCAGCTTGTGTTAGAATAAAAAACACTCCAGTGATATTTCAACGAGTGCGCAATTCCATGAGAAGGAGAGCGGAAGCATGGATACTAAGTGAAGGGGGCCATTTTCAACAATTTTTGTAATCATTTCGTTGGTTTTAATGTTATGTTCATGTTGTCAGTTGCTGTTGTTCAGTACCCCTAATGTGTTTAATTTTTCCAATTAAATTAATAATAATTTTGCAAGTTAGACAATAGAACGGTTTTTATTTTTTTACTCAAAAATGGCGCATCGAAGGAAAACAATTCAAGAGAAATCATTCGTTTTAAATTGAACGACAAATTCAAAAATAATTTTTATTTGGCAAAAAACCATTGGCGCACCATTTTTTCTTAAAAAATAGCGAAGTCAATACCCGTAAGCACGCCACTGTTAAAGCTAAAAATTATTTTTGCATTGAAAAATATGCAACTTTATTAACTATCACTATGTACTAAATATCAGTGAAATATCTGAAGCGGTTCTGAAAATATTAATAAATTTCCATTTTTTTCCTAAAACTTCAACACCCCGAGTATTTGTAAGGAAACATTTTTGGACCATAGTTTATAAAGCAAACTAACATTAATTTTTCATGTAGATTCACACCCTTAAATATACGAATATCATCAAGGAACACCCTGTATAGGGTAGCTAAAGTTTAGCCACATGTCAGTTGTATTGTTTAAATCGACTGACTCATTTCACTATATATTTGGATCCTTTTTTTAGAAGTTTGTTATAAAATACTGTAGGGTTTTGATTATCAGATGTTGAGTTATAAGCTAATCAATGTACAGAAATTGTGACACCTTACCAGTACACCGTTTTCAGCAATATTGAAAAGCGTTTTGTGCCAAAACGTTCTCTTAATCCTCGTTTTATTTCGAATAAATCTTTATTTTTAAAATATCAGTTTCTATAAGGTGCTCAAAAACGAAAAATAGACATTGCCTCCACGATTTCAAATGGACTTACCTTTCATTTATCACACAGATGGCGCTGTTTACAAAAATCGATTAAAATGTGTAATGCATCTATTTATTAAAAATCGATAATAATTATTAAGAACATGATAATAAGTGAAAAAAAAAAATATAAAATGAAATTCGATTATCATTTAACATCCCTAATTTCAGTATATTGCCGGCTACGCGTCTATAACATTGAATCGAATGCAGAAAAATGCCTGTTCATTGATCTTTTCCCTAATTCTTTTCGGCTACTTCTTGCAGTGTGAATTAACAAAGAATCAATCAAGAAGCAACGTGTGTTCAGAGCCCTAAGCTTTGAACAAAACTGGAAAATATCACATTACAGTATAAAATTATATTAGAACGCACTAAAAAATATCACCCGTAATTTACCAATTGTTTACCTTCCTGTGATTCACCTTCAATTGATAAAAAACGAGATCCGTAAATGTACATGTTCAATATCTGTAAAGTGCATTGTGCTACAAATCTTACAAATGGTCGAACATCACCCATGTTTGCTGTTTTCAGTGTATCGTAGTATTTCTCTCTGAAATTAAACACCCATTTGAGAAACTAAATAAAACAGTTTAGCAGGAAATATAAGTATACGGTGGGTCATAAAAACCCCCAGAAAATGCTAGCTTGATGAAGGCATTTCTCGCCACAGCATATACAATACTAAACAACAACGCAACACCCTAAAAACTGCGCTGAATTTTTGACAACTCTCAATGACCTTCAGAGATCGGCACACCTTGCAAGAAGCTGCCATGCGCAATCGTGTCGCGTGGCTATACAATTTGAATAACCCGTTCTGCCAGGACGCTTTGGATTATAAGACAAGTGAGTAAACTTCTCATATAATCGGAAGTTGCATTGCTGTGTAGCATTGTACGAGGGTTGTCTCAAAATAAGGTTACCAACGATGTATCCTAGCCGCGTGTGATGCTAGGCGAACTCTGACAACACCGTTGTGTTTTTCGGCTCCCACACAACCGATCCCAACAAGAGGCGCCTATTTGCGATGCTCAGTACCTGCCCGACAGCCATGCGCAATGGAGCCCTTTATCACCGTCACCGCCAGATAAGAAATTCGTGCAGTCATCCGATTTTTGCACGCAAAAAGTTACCATGTGTAGACAAAAATTGCAACTATGGATAAAAATACAGTAGAACCCCGCTAATCCGCCCTCGGGTAATCCGCCTCCTCGCTTAATCCGACCATGCCGTCGCTAATCATTTGGCCTTTCAGTACGTTGAACAAAGTCCCATGTCTACCCCAATGGACATTTTGTGGATCCGGAAATGGAAGAATATTACTGCGAAGTCGAGATTGTCGTCTGCTAAGCAAAAGCACATTACGGACTTCTTGAGACCAACGCAAGATAATTAAATTCAGTGATAATAATCTTACGATAATCGCTTAATGCATTTTTTTAGTTTAAACTACAGTTTTATCACGTTTTTATGTCAATAAATGCTCTCCTCTGATAATCCGACCTTTTTACTGATCCGACCATACTCCTGGTCCCGTAGGTGACGGATTAGCGGGTTTCTGCTGTAGCTTAAAGATCAAGGTTTCCAATGATGAATTCGTTTTTTCGAATAAAAAATTTGTTGAGCCTGAAAAAAATGTAGAAACCATATTTTTTAAACAACCCTCGTATAGTGTTGTTATCTAGTTTAATCAGTCATTGCCACTAGAACTTCCGTGTAGACTCCTGACACTATACTCGAAAAGATATTCTCGTTTCGCGATCGAATTTCGTATGCCTATACGTGTGACGTCACTCGGTGACAAATGTTCCACTTGTTACGAAATGCATTGTATTTGTTTTATTTTCAACATTTGGAATATTTGCTTGAAATTGTTTTGTGTTACCGACTTTACATGATAATATAGAATGTTTCATTTATATTTTGATGTTTTGCCAATAAAATTTAACGAAGTATATCATAATAAGCAGAATAAATTACCTTTATGACGTTATCACGTTTGAGAAATTAACAATAGACAAATTAACAGGTTCTGAATAACTTAAAAAAAATGCGCCTGTCGCTTTTCAAACTAAAAATTTTTTGAACTCGAAATAAAATTACATTTTTATTGAAGTAAATTGGCTTTTTATACAGAAAAAGAATGGAGAACAAAATGAAATGTATGACATCTTTATAATTTCATATAAAATGTTATGTGTAAATTGTTTTTAATATTTTTATGAGTAGGTGTTAATAAAAGTATTTTGTATTGGTAATCAGTTTCATTGTTTATAATTTTCATCTTCCCAATTCTGCATATCTTTTCATATCTCAACATCCGGATTTTAGAATACATTTTACACCACTGCGCACTACACCAAAGTTAAATGTTTAATTCAATGTTTTTTCAATTATTTTACACAGAGACTTATGTGAAATACACCAGATAACAAAATAAAGAAATTAATAAAAAGTTACGTGCTATAGCATAATACTGACCGTTTGTCACCCCTGGGAAATCTTGTTACTAAGTGACGTCACGCGTGCAAAAAAAAAAGTCGCTGATCGCATGTGCGTTCTCATACTGCAGACTAAAAATAAAAGACGCTACCGAATGATAGCAATCGAGATAGATAATTTTTATTAGACTTTCTAGCGACATCCTGTATATATAAAAAATACCTTTGTTCTTTCAGTACCATGACAGGTGGATAACCTGCCTTGAGAAGGATGAGGTTCATGATCAACCTACTTGTGCGTCCGTTTCCATCAATAAATGGATGAATATCCACTAATTTATAGTGGGCCAATGCTGCATACCTGAAATTTAATTTAATTCAAAAAATGAGAAACTCCCTGTTAAGCTTGCAAGTCGTCTGATCAAAAGTTGCCGGACACTTGATGCCTGATACTTAAAAGTGAGAAGAGAAATGGAAGGAAGGTCATACAGAGGAAAAATAGTTTAATATATATAGGGTGCTTTAACAGTACAACATATTCGCACATATTTTGGTAAAAAGATCCTCACTAAAGATAGTTTTTTGTATTGTTGTAAAGAGCTCTTCGAGAATAGATGTTTTAAGCCACTTTTACGTCTTGTCCAAGTTGTTTCAGTGTATTATTTATTAGATGGACACTGTTTTATGTCTCGTCTATCAAGATCGTCTCAAAAAAGTTCGGTGAGATTGACTGGAGAAATCAACTGGAAACCCCGTGGTTTGTAATGTACACCCACGTTGACGTTGTGGGATGACGATGAGAACCCGTCAATTACGATGGGTATTTCAAATTTCCAGTTTTCTGGGAAAATGCCGGATTCATAAGATATCTGGAAGAGACGCGAAAGAACTGGAGCAAGCACCGCTGCACATCTCGTCAGTAAAATGGCAGGAATCAAGTCCGGACCAAAAGCTTCGTGAATGTCGAGCGCCTACCAATTTTTGTAATAAAACAGAGCAAATTGCTACTCCTCAGAAGCTGAAACCCACCACCCCGCGCGTTATTCTATGAACTATTTGCTTGAGGTGTACACCCCTACCCCCGTGCGCTCTTCAAATGACATCAATAACATTTATTCTATTAATAGGGCTCAGTACCTCAGGTGCGCTACTTAAGCAACCCACCCCCCTCCTCCAACTCTTTTCAATTGTCAACCAACGACATTCAGTTTAACCATAACGCTTAAAAATTCGTCTATTACTACAAAATTTAACATCTACCGTTTATTCTTCAGCACTTTTTATTTGGCAGCACTGCTTGACACATAAAGGCAGTGACAAGGTCAATAATAGTTAAAAGCGTAAATACTTTCAATTGGATTGGGTACCTTCTGGTGGGATTATGTTAATCAACGCCCAAAAGAATTTGGCATGAATCGTGGCATCTTCTCAGCTATACGCTAGACTGCTAGAATATGCAGGCTGTTTTCAAAGGTTAGTCATTTGTTTTAAATGCTTGTTGCATAATAAAAGAAATAGTAAAAAATTAAATATTTTAAAAAATAGGAATGCTATTACACAGATTTTTTGATATTCTCGAGCACTGCTCTGTAAAATCTTAGCGTTTTTTGTTTACTACACTTATCGTTTATCTAGATCTGACAAACTTTTTGTGAGTATTTTGTGCAGAAAAATGACTCATGTTTACTAAAACAATAAACTAGTGAACATAATACTAACATACGGAAAGAGCCAACAAAATGAAGCCGCAGCATGCAGGTGGAATGCGGAAAGGTTTCCACTAAGAAATCATCCGGTCCCACGGATGTTGGTAAATTTTGGTTATTGGACTTCGTGACAAGATATTTAAAAGAACGAGGAAGACATTTTAGAAATGGCCAAAGATGACCCAACAATGAGTACTAGAGCCATGGCAGGTCAAGTTCAAGTTTCTCATAGTAAAGTGTGGAAGACAATACGATAAGAACAGTATTATCCTTATCATTATCAACGGGTACAAGTGTTACAACCTGATGATCGTCCTAGAAGGCTTACATTTTGCCAGTGCCTCGGCAGAAATTAAGATTTTACGAAATTAATTTTGTGTACAGACGAAGCCACATTTACACGAAATGGAAGTGCACAATTTCCACAACAATCATATTTGGGCAGTAGAAAATTCGCATGCTGTAAAAAGAACTCATTTTCAACATACTCGTAGATGTTCATTAAATGTTTGGGCTGGTGTGGTAAATAGCATGCTTATTGTACCCTACATTTTTCCACCTCGACTGACTGGTGAAATTTATTCAGATTTTCTTGCTTGCTCTCCTGATTGAACATATTTAGATTTTTTCTGTGAGGTTATTTGAAAGAGTTGGTGAATCATGATTTATTTTCGAAGCTTGTAAGGAATGGTGGATTCGCAGAGTAAGATTTTGCGTTAATCGAACAAATGGGGAGAATTTTGAACAGTTTTTGTAAAAACGGTATCCATTTAACCTGATAATGATTTAATAACTTTTAATAATATAATCTAACTCTCTTATTATGCAACTTTTATATAAGTGATTTTTTTTTTAGTTCTACAAACTGTTAAAATAAATGACACCCAAAAAACACCCTGTAGAATGCAGCAAAAATAGGTGAATTTTTCGCTGGTCCTTTTTGGGCTTTTTATCGCACTCTGAAGTAGTCAAGGAGCAACATGTGTTCAAAGCCAAACAATCAATACCTCACAGGATGCATGCTTCGTGCTTCTTCGGAATTGAGCCATTCCACATAGCTGTCCATCAATCCTGGAAGTTCTTCGTGAAAAGGCGGCGAATGACTGCCAACGAAAACGTTTTCGTTCCTGAACACGCCTGACGATATGGGATCTACATGCCCCATGACCCTTCTATGTATCCCTAAAATTTCTTTGATGCCTATGTAATCTTGATGTACTAACAGCTTGATATATTGCATCGCTTTTTCTAAGCCTAGGACTTCGTTGTGTTCTATTATACTTTTCCCACTTACGACTTGTCCTGTTTCTACGAGATACCTTAGTTGTTCTACTGTCATTGTGTTCCCTTCAATGCCAACCTACAAGCCAAATTAAGTTCTTAAGAGAGCCGAAACAAACGTTAATTCCACAGCAATTATTGTTTAATTTAGTTACTATGCCAGTTGTAGCCATAAAGAACACCTAGGTAAAAGGCAGTCTGAGAAAATGAGTTCAAAATTCAGGATTTTTTCTAACTAAATAAATAGTATTATTACGACTGAAGAAAAGTGAATGAATATTGCAAAGTTACTGACTTTCTAGAAAGTAATTTAAATATGATTCCGGATCATAAATGTTGTTGAGACCTAAAATAAATGACATTCCGTCTTCAATTGTTGTAAATCAAAAAGCAGGAACATGCTATTTACTGCTTTCATACTCAGCAAAAACAAATTCACTACGTTTTTTCGTACTTTTCACAATCTATTTATATTGTTTTTCTGAAAGAAAAACGCAGTAATGCAGAATTTCATTTTATTTTCATATAATCCACATAAATAGCACAAAAGTAACCATTTCCAACAGCTAATAATTCAATTTAATAATTATATGATTACATTTAATAATATCATTCAACAGAAATGATTATATAAATGAACTAAAGACAGCATGTTTCCTTATACATATACATTTTCTTTCTTAAAGGAATAATTTTGAAAATATTTCTCGCTTAACATATACATTTTCTTTCTTATATGTTAAGCGAGAAATATTTTCAAAATTATTCCTTTATTCACCCTACATCGTCTGTCTATAAATTTCTGGTCGTCATATATCGTTCAGCACTTCAGATCATTATAGTTTAACGAGTTTGGCTCACACATGTCTACGAAGAGCGAATAACATTTTGCAAGGCAAAGTTAGATAAAAAGCTCTAAACGGCTCGAAGATCAACGGGAGTCTTCATCAAATAGGATTGTCATATACTGGACTGGTTACATTGTAAAGCTTGCTATTTTAAATGGTTATCTGAATGAAGTAAAATTTTTCATTCATTATAAATATAAAGAATGGTTTAGAGAGGCACTTATACAAAACAATGCACGTATGCAGAAAAAAACATAAGAGACGTGCAGCACAATTTTGATAGTGAAGCAAATTAGTAGAAATAGTAGATATCTATTTCAAATGATTCATAACCTACGCTTTGAAAGAAAATATTCATGCACAAAACTAATTTTTATTTGTCAGTATTCCACACAAAAATACGTTATTTTTGTACAAAAATACGCAAGACCAAAAAATGAATTTGATACAAATCATGTTATCATTTTTGTATGATACGACATACATATATAAAATAATCCACCTAAGAGCTATTCCTCGTATTCCAAACACTTTCAAATTTGTGTAATGCTATTATGTTCGACAGCTTTAAAAGCGCGGCTAAGGTTGAAGAAAAAGCCATATGTTTCTTTTTGTAATGCAAAGATTTTGTTATGTAATTTACGCTTTCATATAAAGCACTTTGTTTTTTACAAAACTGTGTTGGAAAGTGGTTATTATTGCGTCGTTATTTAAAATATATAATGATAATTAAAAAAAAACCTTTCAAATATCTTTCCCAGATTATTGCTATTTCAAGAAGAATCGGGGAAAACTTCTGTTTCTAACGATAGATCAAATACAGGAGCTCTAGCTTGATTTCATCATAACATCTCTTTAATAAAACCTCAGTATCCTATTAACATCCTTTGATTTCTCTGCTTTCAAAGACATGCCTGTCTAAAATAGTACAACTTCATCTATATATCTTATAAACATACTCCCTATATTTATCCCATTCCGGTATATTCATTAGTTATTAACCCTGCTAGTTTGAACAAAAAAACTATCATACCCATTAGGGACATAGAGAGGACCTGTAAAAAATAACACCAGGCATTTGTCACTTGTGTATTTTTTTTGGATAGTTTTTGTGTGTTCGGGCGCTTATTTATTATTTGCTTGGGTTTTCTTTGGCGCGTTTTTTGTTATTGAATGTATTCGCACTTCCATCCATGATGAGTACATGTTATAGATTAGGCATATTAAGAGTTTTACCCACATTATGAGTATAAGCAGACGCGAGAGATAAATTTCTGTTAATGATTGTTCGAAAATGAGTTTTTGTTAAATACTTTTTGGAATTCTAGAAATTTAAAGCTTTGATATTGGGGGGTAAAGCATTGTACATGATAGTAGATAGTATATAAAACATATAGCAAAAAATGAAGTTGGGTGAGGAGGCAATGTTATTGTATCAATACAGGGATTATCTGTTTATCTCATAAGTGCATAGAACTATGAAATTTTAACTTATCTTTCAAAACTCGGGAAGTACGTGTAATTTAAAACAGATTAGGAATATTATGAACGAGGCAGTAAGGTGGTCATGTTTTCTAGTTACAGATTAGTCTGCAACATGAATTTTGAATGTTTCGCAACCCCTTGAGGATACTGAATCTGAAAACAACAAATAATAAACAATTTTCGCATTATGTAATTTTTGAAATAACCAATAAATTACAGATTTTTTTAGTTTTCTAATCAAGAATTTGTAAAAATATCATTGCCAAAGTAATAAACAACTTTTTACATACATGAATAATAAAATTTTAACATTCATCAAGAGATATCCCTAGATTTTTTCAGTTCCACATACTTGTACAATTTTACCATTTTTTAATGATATAGTCGAATATTTACTTTGATTTCTAAATTTTTTAGGAGAGAATATAATTACTTTTGATTTTTCTAGATTTAATCTAAGATTATGAATTTTTGGATACTTGTCGATATATCTCAAATCTTCATTAATTTAAGCCTGAGCAATTATCATATTGTCAGTACTGAAATTATTGTATAACTGCATGTCATTTGCAAAAGACTGAATATTGCAGAGTTTAACAACCTTATTAAGATTTGAGATATATAAAAATCATAATGAACCTCTTTTATTAAGGACAAAGTTTAGCTTATTATTATTATTGTGATTTTCTGTAAATGTCCTTTATCAGGATGATTCCTGTATGACTCCTATGGCAGCATAGATATTATTTTTTTATCTGGTGGATACTTACCGTGTGGTAAATATGCAAGTAATATGCTTGTTTCTTAACAGCTTCAAAGCTATCCATCTTCATTCTTTTCTTTAAGTAGTCATTTTTTGAATCTATTGATTTAAATAAATTATAGTCTAGGCCCTCAACTACCTGAGCTGTGCGTTCACGGTTGATTAGTGCTGCTTTATGATCTGGAGAGTATGTTAGGGCTTTGAAATACAATTCATCTGCACTAACAATATCTTGATGCTGTTGTTCCAAAAATTCACCATATTTATTCAAAACATCTGGGTTTTCAGGTGCTATAGCTGCAGCGTGTTCAAAAAGCTTCAATGCTTTATGGTTTTTGCCTGAAAGTTTGAATGATATCGCAGCTTGCAGTGTGTTGTACACTTCCGAATCTGTACCTGTAGCTTTGTCATTTTTTATTATGAACTCTATGGTATCACTTTTGCCCTGATGCGGTTGCGAATTTAACGCTGAATTTAAATCATATAGAACTAAATCTTCATCGTAGTCCTTTAGGGCTTGTAGTGGGAAGTCTCGGTTGGATTTGCTCTTTTCTGAGGGTATTAAGTCCGCGAACACTGGTACATCATATTTTATAGATGGTTTTTTGTATAATTTGTTAATAAAGTAGTAATGCTGTAATAAAGCTAGTAATACACATATCACAGTTATTAGAACTGATATAACTATAACCAGTATATTCATTTCATTTGTAACACATACGTTTTCTAATTCTTTATCATAACATTTTCATATCTTTTTTATCATTTTTGAGGTTTTAAAATTATGTGGGGTGTCAAGTAAGGTGTCAAGACACTCGAATAGCTGACAGCTGTCATCGTGTAACGTCCACAATTGTCATATGTTGATCTGTCAAGCACGACAAACACGTCATAAAGGAACTACAGTGGCGTAGATAAAGAGCGAATAGAGGGTTTCCTAACTTCACATCAAAAGAATCCAAATATTGAATAAGAATAATAATAATATAAATAATAACTATTGTTCATGTCAGCCTCGCGGATATGAAACATCACAATACAAGATACAGTAATTTTTATAAAACAAGATAAGACGTGAAAAAGCACAATGAAATGCAAAATCATTAAGTGAATGATTTTCTACCGATGATGCTTGCACACATTTTTTTAAAGAGTTAGTAGCAACCAAGGTTTTGATATCGTTAGGTACTTGATCGTATATCGCGGCACACATATACTCCGGACTTTAACCCTAAGTACTACCAGTACTAACGTCAAAATCAAATGCCCGCTATACTTTTCGGAAAAAAAAGAAGAAAAAAAATCACCCAGAAGTTGCAATTCTCGGTGTATTTAAGTCACCTTAGGTATCGCGACAGCAAAACTTGAATAATGTAACTTGAGGACAACTTGTTATTATAATGGAAAGAAAGCCTGCTTCATCCACCTCTAAGCCGAGCCGCAAAAAAAATGATGTGTTTATTGTGGTGCCTTCGAGCACCAATTCTTGAATGAACAAGTAAATGTGAAGAACAATTTACAGCAATTAAATAAATCTAATAAAGCACTCCAAAAAATAGTGGCGATGTTTAGGAGAACAGAGCTAGACCAGGAAGTTCTATCACATCCTTTTTATTTTCCAGATCTAGCACCACCCGACTATCACCTATTTTTGTCGTTACAATATTTTCTGTAGGATAAATTCAAAAACAAAGACGATATCTAACACGCGCTGGATTAGTTTCTCGCAATACGAGATACGACCTTTTGTGAAAATTGAATACCTATACAGATTGCCATAACGTTTGCCAAGGGTCACAAATAATGACAATAAAGCTTATCCACGGTATAAAAAGATCTTATTTTGTTTTGACCTTAAAGCGGACAGAACTGTCCGATTGAGCATATAACCCAAACATACAGGCCTTATTAATCTACTTACCTATTTTCCCGCCATAGATCTACAAGTATAACTAGACCTAAAATAAAAAATAAACAGTTTTATTTTCCATGATAACATACTGAAGACTGTGATGAAATAAATTAGTTCATTTATTTTTTGATAGTAAAAATAAATGTATTTTGCCTAATATGATTGTTCGCTAAGAGCCGTATCGTCATTCATTCTTACAACTGTATGACGTGTTTATCATAGTATTTCCTCTCCTTCAGAGGGTATTTCTAGATTCTCACTATTTCGTGTCCGCGCTATCCTGGTGTGAGGTTATGTTTTCTTTATGATTCCTAAGAAATTTCGGGCTGATAAAACCGATGATAAAAATCAAGTTTTATTAGCATGGAATATCTTAGAATTGAAAAAGAAAATATAAGCTCAAAATAGAGCGCTTACACGAAACAGTAGAAATCTAGAAATACCCTTAGCTTTCTGAAGGACAGGAAAAACTATGAAAATCAAGGAGCCCTTGAAGGTGTCCTAAAATTGTAGGAACGACTGACGATACGGCCCTAAAAATTGAGTCAAGTTTTATTCTGACTTGTATTAATCGCGAAAATTTTCGAAAATGAGATATCATGTTTTTTGATATTTTATGCCTGAACATCACGAAATCACCTTTCAGATGTCTCGCTGTCTGCCTGTCAACTAATCTCTTAACCGCCTATAATTTGAAAAGTACCGCTTGTATTTCGATCAAATCTTTACACAAGCATCTGCCACGTCTCAACCTACTGAGCGGGAGCAGTGGCAAATGCTTGTTCCGAAAAAGAAAGTGGTAGACAAGGACCAATCGACCGAGGCGGTACCACCCGCTAGCTTTTCCCAGGGTGTCTTATAAATGTCCGCATGTTTCCACACCTAAGCTATGCGGTCGGTTATCTTCCAGAACAAAGAAATTAATAATGATGGATCCCTCGACCACTAAGAATTCCGGACGTAAGCTCACTCCATTCTCGGAATGTCCGAGGGAACAACATCGAAGATAAAATTTGTTTAACGAACATCTGCGGGATTAACAGCAACATTGAAGCTGTTCATCATTACCTGCAATCCAATCGTCCCGACATGCTTTTCTTGGCGGAGACAAAAATCTCAGAGTCTGGACCGATTAACCATCTTAGCTTCCCAAATTACGAGGTGTACTCCAATCTGAGATAGAACGGGCGAGTTGTGGCTTTTGTCCGCAGCAGTCTTGTCCGGAAGAACATTCTGTGGCTTCGCCTCGACTCAAAACATCCCCCAAATTTATTTGCTACCTTTATCGCTCTCCATCGGACCATAACTGGGATGACCTACTTGAATACCTCGCCGTCAAGATCGACTTGCTAAACATCAATCACCCCGCTTCAGAGGTAGTTCTCCTTGGTGATTTTAATGCCCATAATGAGCTTTGGATGGGCTCAAACAAGACCGATGCAGCAGGTCGTGCAGTCGAAGCGTTCGCTCTTACTCAATGGCTGACCCAGCTGGTGACGAGCCCTACTTCTTCCCCCGCGTCTCGTCACATGCCAGTAGCTTGCTGGATCTCTTTCTGACCACGCATCCTGTCCTGTCCCCCTAGGTAACTGAGACCACCGTGTTGTGGATGTTAGGTTGCAGTAAGAATCCGCTGTGGCAGCAGAAACTGGTACAGGCCGCAAGACTTGGCATTACGGACCTGCCGACTGGGAGGGCTTAGTCTACCTTTCCTTGAAGTGATGTCTGCTTCACTGATGCGGATGCGTCGGCTGTCTGATCTTCGATAACCGAAATTACGTAGGAATGGAGGAATACATCACTCACAAGGTGGAAGTGCCTACATCGTGTGAAACTGCTCGCCAGCAGAAGATCAAGGCACATAGAACCTTCTTGCAAAACCCTACTATAGAGAACAGACAAGCCGAGGTCGAGTCCAGAAACCAGTATAACGAAGCGGTTTTGCAATGCCAAAAACCAGCACGATATAAAAGTTAGGCACAGGGTAATGTCGCAGCGCAATGGCAGTCGGTTTTTCTGGTCGCTGGCCAACCATGGACGTCCTCCCCAACGCTCAAGTGCCGTCAATTCAAAGGGTTCCCTACACTAGGCGGGAAGTAAAATTTAGGCATAAGTCCGTAAGACAAGTGCTCTTGTCTCTCGACATCAACAAAGCTTCTGGTCCGGACCTGATTCCTGCCATTGTACTGAAGAGGCGTGCAGCGGAGCTTGCTCCAGTTCTTTCGCGTCTCTCACAGATATCTTATGAATCCGGCACCTTCCCAGAAAACTGGAAATTTGCTCATATCCAACCCATCCCAAAAAAGGATGTAAGACCGATCCTTACAACTACAGGCCTATAGCTCTGCTTTCTGTTATAAGTAAGGTGATGGAGAGGTGCATAAATCGCGAGCTTCTGAACTACCTCGAACGTCACAGCTTGATTAGCGACAGGCAGTACGGTTTCCGGCACCAACGATCCACAGGGGACCTCCTAGCTTACGTCACGCAATTGTGGAGTAAACTCATCCAGTCTCATGGTGAGGCTCATGTCGTTGCTCTTGACATCACGAAAGCGTTCGGTCAGCTGTGGCACGCTGCCCTCTTAAGCAAACTTCCGTCCTATGGCCTCCCAGAAAAGCTTTGCAGATGGGTGGCTGACTTTATCTCTGGCCGCAAGATATCCGTCGTAATTGACGGGTTCTCCTCTTCATCCCACAACGTCAACGCGAGTGTTCCCCAGGGATCGGTCTTGGCTTCGACACTGTCCCTCTTACATATCAACGACCTCCTTTCCTGCACGATCAACCCAATCCACAGCTTCGCTGATGACAGCACTCTATATACAGGAACTCAGAGTGATAAGCCGATCTCCGCCGCTGAGCTGAAAAAAAGAAGACTAGCGACGACTTCCTCTCTGACGAGAGACTTGGAGGTTATCGCTGACTCAACAATCTTGTACAGCTTAATGCTTCCAAAACACAGTACTGTACTTTGAAAACAAAAAGCGTCCAAGCGCTCATCCGGCTTCGATGGATGGCCGAGTTCGGCCAAAGAGCCATTCATTTCGGCTGGTCGCAGTCCAGATTACCGAGGACCTGGTCTGGCACGCACACATCTCGTCAATAGCGTCAGCTGCTGGGAAAAGGCTAGGCTATTTGTTTAGGGCTAAGAAGTACTTTTCTTCGCATGACCTTCTCACTCTATACAAAGCCCAGATATTGCTCACAGGTTTGGGGTGCTGCCGCCCCGACTACATTATTTATGCTCGATGCAGTGCAGAGGAGAGCTCGGGACCCTTTCGCACTGGAGGGCAGTCGGCGATCTAGCTTTCTTCTACCGCTACACCAACGGGCGTTGCTCCTTAGAGCTCTCATCCTTGATGCCGCCTCGCGATGTGCCTGCCAGACAGACCCGCCTGACATTGGCGTCCCATCCTAACAGTGTCGAAGTTTGTACGTCCAGAACTGGCCGATACGACTGCTCCTTTGTCCCGAGGGTGTCGAGATTGTGGAACAATCTACACAAATTTGGAGGTAAACAAGCTTGGGAGTGGGAAGGGTTCAACTCAATGTCTTGATATTAGCACACTTATACCTTGAAATTTGAAACATACAGTAGAGGTCAGTCAAAAATTGGTTCCTGTATCAAATAATTGTTGCAACGCCTATGCTCTTGAATGATTCACCCCTTCCATAAGAGCTTTTTATTCCATGTCTGGTGAGCACAGAACACAAGATCAGAAGTGTATTTATTTTGCTTTAGTGTGTTGTGACGTTGTGTAGTGTGTTGTGTACAACGCATAGAAGTGCACAGAAGTGTCAAATAGTACTAATTAAATTCGTGATCGTTTTCATATTTTCTAATTTTCAACATTGGTTGTGATTGTAAGAGAAATATACTGTGATATAATTTCCTGTTCTGGTTCCACTTTATATTAAAAATAGAAAATGGCTCAAGAACAATTCAAAATAAGCCCCGATTTGGAAAAAGAGAGGAATAAATGCACTTTCAAAACACTAGAATTAACCCAATTATTAGACGGAGGCGCAGAAAAATATAATGAGCGCAAAAGTCGTGGTGAGTAAAAGAAGAAATGTTAATCGTCAAGCAATATTTCTTATCACTTTGTGGCCTTTTCCAGAGGATTTTTTCCTAAGTGACCCAGAACTGAAGTCAAAAGTGCCTTTGGAATATTTGAGTCATAAAGAAAAATACGAAGAAGCTGTTCGTAAAGCGTGCTTATTATTTAGAAAAGTTATACAACTTCAAAATGAGGGAAAAGGTGGAATGGACAATTTTAGGTAAAGTATAAAGTCATCTTTTTTACTAGTAGACCTTGACCTCTGAAATTAATACTCAAAACATAGTGAAACACTGTAAAAATTAAATTATCTATAATCATTCAGTTCCAAAGGTTTTTTATAAATGCATGACTATCTCTATACCCATTATTATTTTTCAATGAATCAGAATACATTTCTAATGCATTATCAAGTAGATTATGTATATGAGGATTCTACATTATTGATGAGTGTTTAAAATATATCCTATATTCTATTAATATTATCATTGACCTTACTATCTAGTACTGATCTTATTCAACATATCATAGATGTACGAATTTTTCAGCGCTGTTTGGAAGTTTTAGTGAATGATAATTATGAATGAATGAATGAATTGAGAAAATATTAGATTTTTTCAAACAATTTTTTTCCTCATGATCTAAAGTATGCTTTGAGAATGTATTGATACCACTGAATATTTATTGATCTTTTATCCTATTTCACTTTTTAATGCTTTAAAAATTTATTTTAACTCAATAAATATGGGGTCATTCACTTCACTTACAGAGTTCATAGTTCATTTATTTGACAAAATTTGCAATTTGGTATAAATCTATTTTATATTCTAGCTATAAGGATATTCTAAATATTGTCAGTGCTAAGTGAAACATTAGACATGCCTAATTTTTGACTATGCCTTAAATATTCCAGAAAGCTGAAAATTTTCAAAAATTGTTCTAAATCCTTTACAATTTCTGACCATGGCTGAAAACATGTGTTGACTTCAGCAAAAAATGAGCAAAACCTTGTAAAGTAGAAAAAATCAAGTTTGTGAATATTTTGAAATTCTTCAGTTTTTCACATGTTAACTGAATAGATTTAATCAAAAATTACAAAGCTTTTTTGTTCTTGGCGTAATAGTAACCTTATTTTAAAATCTCATCAAAATCCAAGCAGTACATTCAGAAAAAACATCTTGATTTCAGAGTTTTTCATGATTACAATGTTTCCTCGCCAATTTGCGTGGGAAGTAAAACAAAACACATAAGTGTTTCACTTCCTATGCATTAAGAAGGATCTATTTGTGAACTACACATTCATTCGTTTATTTTAAATTTTTAGTGCCTTTTTAAAGCAGCACTGCAAAAACTGAGAGATTCTGTTTGAATATTTTGTTATGTGGGATATCAAAAACCGAAGTTTGAGTGATTTTTATTTTTTCGCTTTGTTCTCCACCGCCACTGGACCGATTTTCAAAAACAACAAAGCTTTTTCGTCCTTATAGCTGGCTATTCAGTCTCATCAATGGCGTCGAAATTTTCATGGGACATTTTAGGATTTTTTTGATGTACCCTAGAAATGTTGCCTCGTTTATCTGAAACACCTTTTTTGGGGTGTTTCACTTGATATTCAAACAGTTCCAGTGTGATATGTTATTATTTATTCCAAAAAGCAATTTAGTTGGTGGACTAATGTAAATAAAAAAACGTTATCAATGTTTTTGGAATATGCTTGATGCAGCGACGAAGTATTTGAATAAAATTAGACTGATAAGATTTTACATTAGGCAACGATTATTATTGTGAATACAAGGTCTGTAAATTAAGTGGATGGACAGATTTTTTTTACTCAATTATAATTACAATTTTATGTTGTCACCATGAAAATAACTTCGTTCTGAAGCCACACAGCGCTGGAGACGGTCCTTCGACTCATGGCAGTGCTGGAACTCTGATACTGGAATAGCTTTGAGCTGGTCGGTTACAGCCGTTTGAATGCTTGCAATTGTCCCAAAAAGAGTTGCCGTTGAAGTGATTTTTCAACTTCGGGAAAAGAAAAAAGTCACAAGCACTCAAGTCAGGCAAATAAGAGGACTGAGGAGCCACAGGCATGTTTTTACTAGCCAAAAACTCGTGTACTGACATTGCTGTGTGACAAGGAGCATTATCGTGATGGAACGCCCAGTTCTTGATCTTACAAACGGTGGTGCGAGTCAAATTAAACTCTTCCCTGATCATCCTGACCGTCAACCGATGATCTGAACGCACAACATCCCGGATTCTGTCGACATTTCCATCGGATCTTGAAGATGGAAGGCCTTTGTGGTACATCTTCAATCGACTCTCGTTACTGAAACCGCCTTAAAGCGGCGACGGATCACACGTTCCCCTGACTCCCCTCCAAGCTCGGCGCCTACAGTGTTGCCAGATCGAACGATACGTTGCCAGTTGCATTACTACAGACCTCGTATGTAGGCAAACTGTAAATGCGGCTGAATTTGAGCGATACTTAGATTAGGCAATGCATTCCAATGGTCGAAGTTCACTTAGAATCATTTCACAATTAGTTTTATTCAACACAATTATTTAATCGTGTTTTTAGAGAAGTACTGGGTGGACAGCTGGGTTCTGCCATACTCCCAGATGGCAATCCAATTACTTTGCACTATGTTATGTTTATCCCTACATTGATGGGCCAAGGAACAATAGAACAGCAAGCTGAATGGATACAGAAAGCTTGGAACTGTGATATTATCGGAACATATGCTCAAGTGTGTAAATTATAGTGATTTCATGCAATAAAAATATTAAATCCGATAATAATTGTTTTAGACTGAATTAGGCCACGGCACGTTTATAAGAGGTTTGGAAACTGTAGCTAAATATGATCCTAAAACCGAAGAGTTCGTTTTACATAGCCCTACGTTAACAGCTTACAAATGGTGGCCTGGGGGATGTAAGTACAACATATTTTTTCATACATAGATACCTTTAATATGTACTCATCGGGAACTGATGATAACACGCGCATTGTACTGATTCGATCTACTTGACTCTATCTCTGTTTTCCGTAATCAGAAATATTTGATTGTTTAACGCTACATATTAAAATCACGCATACAGCCTGCGAACACCACTCATACGAAATTAATACAGCAATATTATTTTCTATTACTGCCATTTCAGGCGTGCCTCCGGGAGCTAACCTAGGTCCCCAATTGTTTATAATCTATATAGATGACTTAGAATCTTAGTTAACAAACATCCATCAAATTTTTGCTCTTTAACATTTTCTGTGAAATTAAAGATCATAACGATTGTGAAAATCTCCAACAAGAGATTGATAGTGTAAGTGATTGTTGTGTGATCAATAAACTTGATTTAAATTTTTGAAAATGTACGATCGTAAGTTTTTCTCGCAAAATTCAATACTGATCAACTATCAGATTAATAGTATAGTATAGATAGATTGTCAGTCTTTCAAAGATTTTGAGATGATTGTCATAGTAAGCTTACATACATTTTCTGAGGATATAAGCGAAATGATCATGCCAGTAACAAGGTGTTGGATATTGTGTCAGAAACTGCCCTAGCTTTGATGATATGAGAAATGTGAGAGCACTGTATATTTCTTTAATAAGAGGTATGCTGGAGTATGAAGCAATTATTTAGTCTCCATTCTAACAGAATGCTGTTTCAACAGTTGAATCGGTTCAGCGTAAAAGCTTAAAATATATGAACTACAAATTTTATGGTGTTTATCCTGAAAGAGGTTTTTCTCATGCCATGCTCCTTGAAAGTATGAATTTTGACACTATAGTTTACCATACTAAGGATATTACAAATGTTTATAATGTAGTCCATAATGGATTGGACTGTCCGGACTTGTTAGTCAAAATTAATTTTGCAGTGCTCTCAAAAATGACACGCTTCAATTCGACTTTTTACACACCAACTGGTAGAACAAATATAGCATACCTGTTTCCAGTAAATAGAATGTGTAATAGTTTTGATAAGTACGAGGGTGAATCAAATATGAGCCGGAATTTTCTGTTTAACGCGCCAAAGTTGATGTAATCTATACAGGCATTTGATCAAGTTGATCATTATGTACTTCTGGATACTGTTAGGACCGTAGGTCTATCTGAGGGAGTATTGTCTCTCCTTAGTTCATACTTGATGGACAGAAGGTTGTTTGTTGAATATGGTGGTTATAGGACGAGTTATTATCAGGCCACATCTGGGGTGCCTCAAGGATCGAATCTAGGCCCATTATTGTTCCTGATCTTTATTAACGATTTGTCTCTTGATCTCAAGTGTTTGCATCTGTTTTTTGCGTTACGACGTTAAGATTTACACATCGGTCGAGTCAACTGATGATTGTATCATGCTGCAGGATAATTTAGACTTAATTTCTTCATGGTGCTCGCGAAACTGTATTAGTTTAAATGTTTTTAAATGTAAAGTTATGTCTTATACAAGAAAGACTAATTATTTAATATATGATGATTATAACGTTAAAGGTCAGGTTCTAGACAGATGCTACTCTTTTAAGGACCTTCTAGTAACCTTTGATAGCAGGCTAATGTTTACCGAATATATTCTTAATATCTCATCGGCTGCCACCAGACTACTTGGCTTTTATATTAGAAACTGGAAGGGGTTCTTCAATGTCAGTACTTTAATGACTTTGTTCGTTACTTTTGTCAGAAGCAAGTTGGAATATGCAACCCTGATCTGGTCTCCAATATACCTAAATTCAGTTTAAATGATTGAAGGCATTCAACGTAAGGCTATTAAGTATTTTTACCTTAAATGTACTGGTTCTTCTCCAGAAAGAGGTTTTTGTCATCATACCCTTTTGAATTTTTTCGATTCAGATTCACTATCAATTAGACGTAATATGTTTGCCTTATCGTTTTTATATGGCCTTATGCACAATCAAATTGACTGTCCGGATTTACTTGAAAAAATATATTTCCGCATTCCAAGGCTTGAAAGTCGTCAACAATCAGCCCTTTATTGTCAAGCAGGCCGGACAAACGTAATGTTGAAATCTCCAATTTATGTAATGTGCAGTCTGATGAACTATTTATGATCTGTGCGATATTTATAATGACAGCAGTAAATCAATCATAAATTGCTTTGTCATCGATTGTTCTCTAAGCTTACTTAGGCCAATTGATGCCAAGTTTAACTTCTCTTTATTTTCTTTTTGTTAATGTATTTGAGCTTTTCCTGTAATTGGGTTTTACCTGTAGAAAATATGAAATATAAATAAATAAATAAACAAAGGTGAATGGAGTGGGGCGATGTCTTGGTACATGTTGGATGAGGATGTCAGGAAAAGGGGAGTCAGTTGGTTTGGCACGCCGAAATAGATGAGCTGTTAGTAGCAGCATCATGTCCGAGCAAGACGTGCACACGTCTGTTGAGTAACGCATTATCATAAAATTTTTGTCGTGGGAGGGCGTAAAATTTTGCGTCGATTAACAGCACAGCTCGGCGATAACACATTCAAGGACACAACTGGCAAAAAAAATTCATGGAGTGGCGAAAGCCTGGAGAGGCGGTACCGCGAAAAGCCAATACCAGTCTTTCTGCAACGGTATTTTGGTATTCCAGAGGTGTACTGCTTGTTGATTTTCTTCACGATCGCCATACAGTTACTGCTGCTTACTACTGCCAACTACTTAAAGAAATGAAATTGGCATATCAGCGAAAAAGGCGAGACATGCCTATTCGAAGTGACATTCTGCTCCAAGATAACACTCGGCCACACAACACAGCTGCATTGACCAAAGAAAAATTACGCGAAACTCATTGGGGAACGCTTGAACACCCGCCTTAAGTGCGCGTCCGGCATTTAGGCAGAGGCCTGCGCGGCTGCTTTGGTATAAAAAAAATAAAACATTCAAATTTTCTGACGTGACAAATTTGTTTTATGAAGCTGTCAACAGAGTGACGGAAAACCATTGGAAAGACTGCAGGCAGCAGCGGTGGCCGCAGTAGTAGACTCTTCGGTCTCCTGATCAGTCGCCGTGCGCTGTGCGGGTTCGAATCCCGTCCCAGGAGAAATTTTTGTCTTGGCTATGGATGTTGTGATTTTCCGTAGGTGGTAGACGGTCTCTGACTGTCGAACGCGGAGATACCACCCTGCGGATCTCGTAGGCGGAGCCAGAATGTGTGCATGTTGCATGCACACGTGTTCCCTCGCCAGAGTTCGTGCGGCGTTCCCCCTTCCCCCTATAGCCCCACGGTTCCCAATGGGTGTTTAGGCCTTAGGCCTTCGTGGTAGTTGATGTATAAAAAAAATCAAACATTATGAAACGCGCCTTTGCGTCCATAGTGTAGTGATTGAGACGGAAGCCTAGGACGGCGGGACCTAGCGAGACAGCGAAAGTAGTTTTCAGACGTTCCTGTTCCGCACTTTCTGGCCAGATTAATCAGCAAGCGACCTAACGCGCGGAGGCGGCGGTAACAAACCAGTTCGGTCTTGTCGTTCGGCGTCTGCATGAGTATTATTGCATTGTAATGGTGGATACTGAATTGTTTATAAGTGCAATTCAATCTAAACCATCTATTTGGCAAAGTAAACATCCACACCACAGATATTTTACTTAGGATGTAGTCAAATGTTGACACGGGCATTCGAGTGTACTCAAAAAATTCCATTTAACATGGACACACACTACAGTCCCGATCTGTCTCCATGTGACTATCACATGTTTGGGCCACTTAAAGAAGAACTGAGAGGTCACCACTTTGACGATGACGAATCTGTGGAAACGTTCGTGTCCAATTGGCTACTGACACGACCAGAATCATTCTTTGATAAGGGCATTAAAAAACCTCCGATCCGATGGGCAAAATGCATCAATAAGAGAGGAGATTATGTAGAAAAATAATATGTAAATAAACTTATATTTTGTATACCAATAAAATTACTAAAACAAAAGTCCCGTTCATATTTGATTCATCCTCGTATTTTCAAGCACGTGACATTAGCTTTGATAATTTGCAGGTGGTCTTAGGCAGCTTTGTTTAATTTAGTACTGTTACTATAGATACAGGTATATATTGTGCAACTATTTATTGTTAGTAAAACAAACTGCTACTCTATTCTTGTTTGTTATTGGCGTGATTGGGTGCAAACCTGTTGGAATAAATATCATTATTATTATTATAATATTTTTTTAGTGGGCCATTCTGCAAACTATGCTGTAGTCGTAGCCCAACTATATACTCAAGGAAAATGCCATGGCATTCACCCATTTGTTGTACAATTAAGGGATGAAGAGACACATGAACCTCTGCCTGGCATAAAAATTGGTGAAATTGGGTGTAAACTTGGCATGAATAGTACAAATAACGGTTATCTTGGATTTGACAATGTCAGAATCCCCAGGAATTACATGTTAATGAAAAACAGCCAGGTTTTACCGGTGAGTTGAAATATTCGGCACACATCATTTTTAATATCTAGGAGGGTTGTCTCAAAAGTAAGGTTCCCAACGCTGACAACACCGTCGTGTTTGTCGGCTCCCCCACCACCGGTCCCAACAACAAGCGCCTGTTTGCGATGCTCAGTACCGGCCCGACAGCCATGCGCAATGGAACCCGTCACCGCTAGATACGAAATTCGTGTGGTTGTCCGATTTTTGCACGCAAAAACGTTAGCACCCATAGAAATTTATCGCCACTTGAGTGAAGTATATGGGATAACGTGTATAAGCATTCAACATATCCTCAAATGGTGAAGAGAGTGCTGTGACGGCCGCTCGGACATCCCCGATGAACAACGAAGTAGGAGGCCGTCGATCTCCGAGGAAGTTGTGGCGAAGATTGAGCAAATCTTGCTTGAAAATCCGCGAGTCACGGGCGGTTGAACTTCCAGAGGCTTCTGAAAAAGCTGAGATGGGCAATCCAAATCCTCGTGGGGGAAAACTCACCAAAGCGTAAGACCCACAACTCTGCCAGGCACGGGAACTCATTGAAGGGCCCAGTGCTAAGGATGGACGCTTCTCCCTATCTCTGGATAGAGCCAAACTAAGGTTGCTGGTGGGACTGTTGTCTGGCCATAACACGTTAAGGCGTCACCTGCACGTGATGGGGGTGGCTGAGGATCCCTTGTGTGAATGCTGCGGGGTAGAGGAAGAGACCTCGGCGCACGTTTTGTGTCGCTGTGAAGCTCTGAGCTACTATAGGCAGACTATACTGGGGTCCATTACTTTGGACCCCCAGGACGTCAAGGAGCTAGGACGCTAGGCGATTCTCAACTTCGCTAAAAGGGCGAGGCTTGTAATCTAAGGATTGTAGAGGTGCATAAGGGCCCGTTTAAGCGGCCTATGCACTGGCTCGTTATGGTGGCCGGAATGCCTCTAATTCCAAGGTTCAAGGCGGTAGTGCAAAACTGGTTTTCACGTCTAAAAAAATGCGTAGAAAAATGGCGACTATGGAGAAAAATAGCTTAACGATCAACGTTTCCAATGGTTTTTCAAATAAAAAATTCCTTGTGCATGAAAAAAATATGGGAACCTTTTTTTGAAACAACCCTCGTATTTGAAAATCGTATGCCTCGCTTGAGGCTATCAACGTAATGAGAATCATAGAAAAAAAATGTATTTTTTAGGATGGAACATACGTTAAATCGCCGAGTAGCAAGTTAACTTATGGTACAATGATTTTTGTACGAGTTGTGTTAGTACAAGACGCAGCTACTTATTTGAAAAAGGCCAGTATCATTGCTACAAGGTATAGCGCAATCCGGCATCAGTCACAAATAAAACCTGAGTAAGTTGAAAATATCGTATATAAATATTTCAATTTTTCGCATAGTGGTAAAAATGACCTGAAAACGTGGTCAAAAAGCAAACTGGTGTTTTATCCGAAAAAAAAATAGTACACGAGGGTTTTTAAGATCGCTGATTATGAATCTCTTGTTAGTTTTTCGGTAAACAAAATGGCGGAGTATTTTGTGTAATATGCATCCGATTTAAGATCTGTATTGCCAGCATACATTTTTTTGTTTGTTACTAAACTATTACTAAATGGCTTAATAGCTTACAAGAATGATATGACATACAGGTTCTGAGCAGGGTTGAAAAAAATATGTTTTTTGTTTTAAACATTCAAAGTTAGCTGAAAAAAAAAACTGTTAATACATGTTTAAAACAGCAAAATATAATTGAAAACTATTGCCTATATAATCTAGCAACGTTAAAGTGTTATTACTATTTTTGATCCAGCTCTATCAGAGCACATCTCTAATTTAAAAGCGGACATCGGGGATGTACCGTTTGCTTTTGGGCATTTTTTCGCGTTGCGATCTCCAGCAGTCAAATGTGCGAAGTCGTAGCGTGGTGGTGTGTTTTGTTCTTTGTGCATTAAAGATCGGCAAAAAAAGAACAGGGAGGAGAAAGGATCCCGTGTGGAAATATTTTAAGGAGACTGATGCCAAAGCTGGCTCGAAAATAAATAAAAGAGCAAAATGTTTAACCTGCAATATGGATATAGTGCCACTGGTGGCTAGAAAGCGCAAGCATATTAAAAACTGTAAACAATTTAAACAAGGAAGTTTGATAGAAAACGAAAATATTCATATATCAGATAGTTCTGATACCGACAATGATGATTTTTCTACCGAACCTATTTCCTCAAAGTTAAGTAGCTTGGAGAATAATTGTGAAAAAGGTACATTTTGTACTTGGAGTTCCGTAAAAAGTAGTGAAAATTGAAAATTTATTCTATGTACATTTTCCATGATTTTATATTTTAAAAATATGGATTTAAGGATTTTTTTTTGTTAAATAAGATGAGTTGTATACTTTTATAGAAATTTGTTAAGTAACTTATTTAATGTTATTATACAAGTAAATACATAGTCATATTATATGATTATTCTGCTGCTTGTAGTGTACTAGTACTAGAGCTCAATGCAGTTTACTAAGTTCTCTCGTTCGTTAAGAAACAGATTTTTTCCCCTACCATTAGTTTCCTATTTTCATGTTTGATTAATTAATAAAAAATAAAGTATATTTTTTAGTACCTGTGTTTTAACCTATGGCCCTTTTAGTTTCGTTTTGCAAAATAAAAACAATTTTAATCATACTTCGAGTAATTAACTAACGAGAAAAAAACAGTGTTTAAAACAAATTGGTTTGAAACTCCTTCAATGTTTTAAACATTTTGATTAAAACATAACAACCCTGGTTTTGAGAATAACTTCTGCTTTCATAAAGTTATAAATCACACTTTTCGCCGGTGCAAGTTGCTAAGCACCCAAAGTCTAACATGTGACTTCTAAAGCATGATAGTTTGAATTATTGACTCGAAAAAGTGACCTGAGAAAGCAGGGCAAATTTACCACTGTGGACCGTTTTGCGGTCATTCTTTTGAAACAATGTTTTTCAGTCAGCCTGAGCCGCAGATTCTAGACTACGTAACTCAGCAGTATAAACTCTTCCCAAATATCGCTTCGTGTTTTGCCTTCCAATATGCGGCAACTTGGTTGTGGGATACATATAATAATATCACAGAGGAACTTGAGACTGGACAGTTGGATAACCTTCCAGAAGTGAGTATTCTACAGGCTTTTCTTTTCGTCTATTTTATGCCTTGAAAATATTGTCTCTGTTTCCTGAATCACGCTTTATAATAGACGTTGCAGATTCCAAAAAGCTGTATTTTTCAATGTCTCCCAAGGATGTTAATAATACTTGTGCAAAAACACGTTTTATAGGGATGCCTAATTATATTTCCTGAACATTACCGAGTAGTCGATTTAACTCCATATTTTTACTGCATCGGCATCGATGCTTGTTACATATTTTCGATCTTGTCAACAAACTATTTATAGAAATGAAGCTGACTGTATGAAAGTTGAGAATTACTTAAAACGTTTCAGCAAAATTGAAGAGCAATCTATTTAATTTCTGATAGATTTGAGTATCAAACCGACTAGACAACATTTTCTACCATATTTGACCGCAAGGTACAGGTCGACAAATCCAGCTTGAGCCTCGAGATGTGCAGAAAACAGAGTGAGACGGTGGATGTCTGAGAGAAACGGTAATAGCAGACGGATATAGAAGTACAGTCGACGCGGCAAGTTCAGTTACAGCGTGCCAATTTCTGTTATTTCATTTAATTTGATGAAAGACTACCTATTTTACGATTACAATTCGCACTTCGTAGACAACCCCTTGACTTAGCTTACCAACTGCACTGAGAGAAATTTATAAAAGACATCAGAATTTGGCATTTCACTAGAAAAAAATGTTGGGATGCAATTCTTTCATTAAGGGATTGATTGATTAGCTATTTGCTTGACGGTCGCATATACATTGAATCTAGCTGAATAGGGGGATAACTCTTCATAAAAAACGTGCCTCAGCTCTTCTGAGCCTAATGTTTTGATCTTTTCAGAAAACAGTAAATTGTGTACAAGCATGTTGAAACCCTATATCTTTCATAATGTCCCACAATTTATGAGATATGCCCTGCTCTAAGCTTAATTTCTCAAATAAGGAAAGAAATATTGATTCTAACTGAAAAACATAATACATAAAAGCTTCAGGTGGGGGTTTTAAACCCTAAAGATTCTGTTATCATTTTCGAAAATTTTAAAATGGATCAGCAGTTTACTATCCAAACTATCAGGACCTTTAGAGAATTTTACACATATCTCACAGCAATGAATCTGCAAACACTTTCATTTATCATCATCAGCCTCAAACATTGATGTACGTCTTATCAGACTTGGTTCCATACACTATAGAGTCTCCTACTGATTCTACACCCAAAATTCTGCTATCATCCTCTTCTCCTTCTGAATCTTCATCTTCAGTTTCCAAAAAATCACTAGCACTGTCAGTTTGATTTAAATTGATAACGAATTCATCCACAACTCTATCAACCGCGGGCTCGCGTTCTATAAATTCTTTTTCAAGCTTCTTTGTATGCTCGCATCTCGTTTTCCACTCATCACTCCCAAATGTATTAAAAAACTCATCGCAGTGTTTTAAAATCGATATTGAGACATGCTACGTGAGATTTCCTTGCTGCCCATACGAGTTCTATAGGGTTCAAGTCGAGGTGATAGGGTGGCAATCTTAATACATCGTGCCCAGCATCATGCGGAATTTTATCTATTGCAAACTTCTTATAAGCAGGCTTATGCAGTTTTATCAACACTTCTAGCTTAAACATGTCGTCCGTAAAAAAGATACTTCTGTGACGAAGCCTGATCATCATTTCTGCTTTGGTTGCTGAGGAAGTTGGGCTTTTTTCTGTTTATTTATTATGATACGGTGCGTTGTCTATAACAACCACGCTTTTGGGAGGTAGGTCTGTTACTAACTTTTCTCCCAACGACTTTTTATAATTTTCAAAACTCATCTCATTATGTTAATCGCCTGTACTACACGTAGATTTCCATCTCACATACGCATTAGGTATGAATCCATTTTCACTGCCGGCATGGAGAATAATAAATCTGTCCCCTTTGGATACCGGTTTTTTATGCGTTCCGTGGAGCCATCTACCCAGGTTTTGGGGTTTGTATGGGAAGCGTGTATATATGTCTCGTCAGTATAGATCACTGGACGTCCTTCTTGTGTATATTTCTGCATACTCCTCTAGAACATTATACGTAAATGGCGAATTTCTGGTTTTCCGTTAATAGCTTCCTGTTGGTCTCAAATTTTTTCCACTTAAACCCTAATTGGGGATGAATTTCTTAACGCAATGTTTCTCTGCTTCCCCGATATCCTACTAGCTCATCATCTTTCTGTGTACATATTGCAAGGTAGGTACACGTTTTTCGGTTACATGAAAGTTTATTATTGTTCTTCGTAACAATCCTCTGTCGTTACCATCCAGAGCCACCTTACTGTTAATATTTCTCCTTTTGTTTGGTGTAGAAAATGAAATTGTGCTGTTCTCTTGCATATTTAACGCTTCCTTTTTAATGCGTTTGATGGTACTCTTACTGATGCCTGTAGCTGCAGAAACGCGTTCTTGATTCTATTCTAAATTTACTATAGTTTTCAACAAACAAAATTTTGTACACAGGCTTTGATATGCTATTCAACCAAGATGTTAGGTCTCACCGCCGCTCAAACGGGCAAGTAATTCGTGAACAATTCTGTCATTTTTATATATATATACTATCTACACATCTACACAGACATTGACAACGTTCGGCCTTCTGTCAAAGGGTTCATCTCACTCATTATTCCATGACCACCATTTTGTGCAATCATCAAGTGGCTTCACGATGTAATGCTTTAATGTTTTTAAATAATTTTTAATCTGTTTTTAACTTGCTCTTGTCATATTTTATATAATTTTGAACATTGTACCATCTATCCAGCTCTCACCATGTTAGTGGACGTTTCCCTCATCCTATACGTAAACAACAATTAGCAACATCCTCACATACTACTGTAAGTTGAGTCAATTTAAATTCATTTTACACTATTGTTGCTACTGTTATCATTGTAATTGCAGCTCCTGATGATGATGGCAAAGTCCATTGAAAGATAGAGAGAATTAAAAGAGTCCTCTTTGCTTAAATTTTGCCGAAGTACCCAACAAAAGGCGGAAGCTTTAATTTTTCACCTATATATATATATATATATATATACAGGGTGACTTCGAAGTTGAGTCATTTATTTTAACAGTGAGTAGATCTGATCAAAAGAAATGTTTTTTTCCTTTACCATTTTTCTGGTAAAATTAAAGTAACAAAGTTATAGCCCTTTGGAAGTTTGAGTACCGCCCTGTCTCAATAACAATATTATGTGGTCGTGTTTGGCGACAACGGATATAATCCGCCGTATCGGTTCATCGCATCGGAAACAAAAAAGCGAAAGAATTTGGAACGATGTTTTACAAGTATCTCATTCATTTGTATACAATCAGTGTCAGTGAATGGTGGTATCTGTTGCGTGGCTCAAACGAAATAAAAAATGGCACATGTTTATGCGGATCGGTTTCCCAATCGAGTGCAACCAACCCCTCGTGCCTTTGTTAATGTAGTACAACGGGCTCGTGAATCAGGTGACTTAAGACCTCAGAGGGGACCTCACGATCAAATACAGGTCCGCACTGAAATACTTGTCGGGAGGATACTTTATAAAACAAGGTAAAAAATTTTTTTTATTTTTTTTTTATTTTTACACACATATTTTGGTTTATCTTCCTTCTACAATCATTATCTGAAAATTAATGACTCAACTTCAAAGTCACCCTGTATATATATATATAAATTTTGCCGAAGTACCCAACAAAAGGCGGAAGCTTTAATTTTTCACCTATATATATATATATATAGTATTCATAGTTAATTGCCTTAACTGCTGGGAGAAAATATCCTTTAATTTATTTGGGTAGAAGGCAAAGTATTGAAAAAGTACACTCTTATAACTTAAACTCTCAAGCTTTCGAAGATCTGTGTCTTCATCGTCTGGAACTGAAAACAATTATTGACAATAGCAACAAATAACAATTAGGAGAAAAATAGTTACTTACTAAGGCGAGATTGTTGCTGAAATTGTTTTTAAACAACAGTGAAGGGAACACATAGTCGACGAATAAAAAACTGGACTGATGAGGTTCGATTAGGACGGAATTATTTTATTGTTAAATGGCAAATCCTTTTGAAAGGTTTTTTTAATTAAACGTTGATTGATTTTGGAAGAAATTTGGAAATTTTAAAACTATCAACTATTGAAAATTCCTTCGAGATTTCATCTTTTTTCCCTGATAACCTCCACCTTATCCAACACCGACTGACATTCTACAGCGGCGAATGAAATATGACATTGAAAATTGTTGGAAGGTCACTCATTTTGTCGTAACTGTGAAGTGTGTTGCCTAAAGCTATATACAGATATGTAACAACACCGCGAACCGAACCACGCGACGAACCGCGCCGCGCTAGTATAGACGGTAAAAAAAACGCCGTCGCGAACCTGATAAGCGTTACAGCTCGCCGTTCGGCCCGATCCAGACTCTGTCGGTTTTTCAGCGTAACATCAAAGGATCAAAGGAAAGGCTCGCAACGAAGTTGCACATGTTTGGACAGGGATGTCGGTGCGGCGAGCACGCGCTCATATCAGTAAATGGATAGAGCTCGTGAAGAAAAGAAGGAATGGTCGAAGGAGAAAACTCTTTTGCTTATAGAGCATTACAGAGCAGGGGAATTATTGTGGGATGCAAAACATACCCTGAATTACAATAAATTAAAAAAAAATGATGTCTTTCACTGAACGACAAACATCAAAATTGGATCGTCACTTTGTTGCGCGATGTGGTTGCACGACGTGGTTCGGTTTGTGGTGATGCTCGTTGCAATGTTGTTCGTCAAAAAGCCCGCTGCGGTTCGTCGCGTGGTTCGCTTCGCGGTGTTATTACATATCTGTACATAGCTTTATATGTACGGTGTTTTGTAATATAGTGCAAGAGGTTGCGCTATTATTGACCGATGAAGTACAGAGATGTTTTCAAAACTTGATAGAAGTTGCTTTGGAAGGAGTGTGATTTCAATGTTATCCTACCAAACAACTACGAAATCTGTATGGAATATTCACACTTGAGGACAAAAGACTTTGAGCAATTTTGATTTTATTAAGATAGTGAAGAATTATTATTGTATAGATTGGGCGATTATTGGGGGAGATACGTTGCTTTTCCAATGTTTCGCAGTTCAGCAAATATGCATAGACGACGCTAAGTTGATTGACATCAGCTTTTTTGTTCATGCAATTGTCTGTCATAAAGATATGTGACATTTCCAGAAACAGCCGTTTTGATAGATAATTTGCTCTGTCCAGCACCTTGGTATCATTGTATCTCATCTGATGCCCTGTGGAGTGACGTGTGAAGCTAGAGCACATCTTTCTGGATGCAGTCTGGCATCACCTTTATGTGAGGTTATTCTACCTTTAAGGGATCTTGAAGTTTGACCTATGTATGTGAGATTGCATTTATTGCAATTGATGGAGTAGACGATGTTGGATAGGCCAAGCAGAGGAACTCTATCTTTCATTTCGGAGAAAACATTGTTGATTGTGAGTGAGGATTTGTAAGCAATGCGGCAATTTAAAGTGTTGCACAATCTAAAAAGTTTTGGTGTTAGATATTTAATCTATGGCAGTATTGCAAAACTAATTCAGGAAATAGATGGAATATCTGTATAATTGGGATGATTATCATTGTTATTTCTGGAGAGGTTGGGATTGTTGTTATCATTATTCTGTGAACGTGGTATAGCAGTGGGAGAGCTGAACATGATTCTGTTGGTCAGGTATTTTGGATAACCATTATTTGTGAAGAATGTTGAGAGTTTGCGTAAGTTTGAAAGATGGAAAGTACTTTCAGAAATGCTAGTGACCCTTGTTTCCATGTGTTTCACCAGATTTATCTTTATCTTAAGTTTGTGGTAGGATCTGAAATTTAGGAATCTGCCTGATGCCATAAGCTTCATGTACCAGTCTACCATTAAGATATTGTTGTTTCGGATGATTTTTGAGTCCAGGAATGGAGCAGATTGATTATCATCTTTTACTATAGTGAATTGAATATAGGGGTCATAGCTGTTAAAACATCTACAATATCGTCCAAATCTTCAAATGGTAGGCAAACAATATGTCATCTACGTATTTTCTGATGAAGAAAAGGTTATAAGGCAATACCTGAATGACAATATCAAGCAGGTCATCCATTACATAATCTGCTAAAATTGGTGATAACACCGATCCCATTGGACAACCATGTGTTTGTGAATAGGTTTCATTGTTAAAAGTGAAATAATTGATATCAAAAAGATATTCTAAGATGGTGTCAAAGGATTCCAGAGTTAGATTACAGTGCTGACCTATTATATCCCAATGTTTGTGAATGGATCTGATACAAGCTTCTAACTAGACGTTACTGAATAGTGACACCACGTCTAGACTTGCGATCACATGTCCAGGTGGTATTTGCAACCTGTTAAATTGTCGGGATACATCAAAGGAGTCTTTAATGTAGTATTCACCTTTAATGTGGGCTGACTTAAGTATATCTGAAATTAACGAGGATAAAACCTGCGTGGCTGATCCGACTGATGCTACACTGACAGTGTTGGTTTATGTATTATATATATATATATATATATATAATAATAATAATAATAATAGCGTTTATTGTCCAACAGTTACCCCATTTATAGGACAATTACATAGGCACAATTAAATAATATTCAGTGGTGTTAAAAAAAAAAGAAGTTATTTCAAATATAAATAAGCCATTCTAACTACTGAGTTAAGCGAACAAGTAAATATATCACAATGACAGCTAATACAATTTAGATGTTTACACATAACATATATAGGAGATTTGACTAACAAGTTGGTCCTAGCTCTTGATAGCTTAAAAGTTACATAGTTGCGTGAAGAGAACGAAGGAACATTGAAATTAATCTGTGCCAAAATGACTGGGGAGTCAATAATGCTATTTAGCAGTTTAAAAAGGAATATGGCAGATGAAACTTTCCTTCTGCATTCTAAACTATGAATTTCAAAACGCTCACATAGTTCCATATTGCTAATGCCTTGCTCAGGGTAAACTCCTTCAGATTTGAAGTATAGAAACTTTAGAAATTTTCTTTGGACCCTCTCAATATCATTTATATAAGTCTGGTAATACGGATTCCATACAACACTCGCATATTCTAGTTTTGTACGTACATATGTAAAATATAAGACTTTTAAGGCCCTTAAGTTATCAAATCGCTTACAGTTCCTGATAATGAAACCGTAAGACTTAAAGGCTTCCGAAACTTTCCGCGAAATATGAGTAGTAAATGTTAATGTATGGTCATATATAATACCCAAATCTTTGACTATATCGCTTCTTTCCAGCACCACACCATCGATATTATAGTTGAATACACAAACATTTTTCTTTCTGCTATAGCTAACTACTCTGCACTTACTTATATTTAGATGTAATTTATTGAGATCGCACCAAATCCTAACACTACTTAACTGCATCTGTAAATCTAAGCAATCCTGCACGTCACTGATTGATGAATATATCTTCATATCATCTGCAAAGCATAACTGTTGACCATTCATACTTTCACAAAGATCATTTATGAATAATAAAAATAACAATGGTCCCAAGTTGGACCCCTGGGGAACACCAGATGGGGCTAAGTAGGTTTCAGATTTGAAGCCATTATATTCAACAAATTGTTTTCGCTCTGACAAATACGACCTGAAGAATGTTATAGCGCTAAGTGAGAGACCAAAGTGACCAAGTTTCATCAACAAAACCCCATGATCAATTTTGTCAAATGCCTTTGAAAAATCCGTATAGATCACATCAACTTGGCAGTTATCATCTAGAGCTTCAGAAATATATTGGGTTAAAATAACCAAATTGGTGACTGTAGATCGGTTGCTGACAAAACCGTGCTGTTTTTGTGATATTTGATTTTTTATTGAAGGATACAAGCGATTGTACAAGATTATTTCAAAGACTTTCGCAAAAATGCATATAAGAGAAATTGGACGATAATTCTCGACATCTGATTTTTCTCTATTTTTGAAGACCGGACAAACTTTGGACACCTTCCATATATTCTGGAATATATTAGATTTTAAGCACATGTTGAATAAGAGAGTAAGTACAGGAGAAAAAGCTCTAGCACAGTCCTTTACAAGGAACGAAGGGATACCATCAGGACCCGAAGTCATCTTATCCTTTAGCTGACTAATGGCTAAAATAACTTCGCTATCCTGGATAGGAGCTAAAATTAGATGGATGTTATGGTTAACGTGCTCAACGATATCAACGTTTAAGTCTGATTGGTGGTAAACACTGCTGAAAAAGTTAGCAAATACATTGACAATCGACTGAGGCTGACAGTACGTATTGTTTTGATACTTCATTTCGCCAGGAATTCGTGATGTACTATTTTTCATGTTCGTGAACGACCAAAATTTCATTGGATTGCTAACTAAACTGTTCTGAACATTCTCCATGTAGATATTATACGCCCTCTTTATTTGAGATTTGATTGAACGGCGCAGTCTCTGAAATTCTTCAAGATCTGACTGATGTCCAAGCTTAGCAAACCTTTTCCTGTATTTAGCTTTTTGTTTAATACTTTTAATAATATTGGAATTATACCAAGGTGGATACTTGTGACAATAATTTTTGTATACAGGTATATGAGTATCAAAAGTGCTGTACAATTTTTCATAAAAACGATCTACTGCGATATCTATATCATCAGAATTCACAGTCGAAGTCCAATTTATTGATAGGAGTTCTCTATACAGTGAAGGAAAATCGGCTTTTCTAAAATTGTATACCTTATTCGTTAAATTGTAGCGAAATTTAGCTTCCCTTGCAAATAAATTTAGTATACTAATTAACAGTGCCGGATGATGGTCATCCTCAGGCACCATAGGCGTGGTGTCATGAGCTACTACACAAGAGTAGTGAGATATGACCAAATCAAGCAACCGATTTAATCCATTACGGACGTCGTTATACTGTCTGAGATTAAACAAGGCCATATATATATATATATATATATATATATATCAATTTTCAGCCTCATTCTGCATGAATCTCAATACCGAGGCAAAAATTTCTTGGCTTTGACCACTTAAAACTTTATTTGCAACTTTACTCTCCATTTTTCAGAACCTTCGAGTACAAGTTAAAACAACCTATAGCTAACGCAATTAAAATTTTTACTGGATCTGTACCCACGATGCTACCTCGATCGCTGCTGGTTTGTACTGGGGTGTCGGTGTCCCCAGTACATTCCGCAGTGTCTACCGCGCATCTGACTTTGGAAGACCAAGCTAGATTTGTCAAACTGTACAGTCTGATTTTTTAATTTTCAGCTGCATGCTACGGCATGTGTTCTGAAAGCAGTAAGCACAGCAGATGCCGCACAGGGTGTGGAAATGTTAAGACTGGCATGTGGAGGCCATGGATACATGACTGCTTCAAACTTGCCATCTACTTACGGACTCGTGACCGCTATGTGTACATATGAAGGTGAAAACACCGTTCTTCTGCTACAGACAGCTAGGTTTTTGGTCAAGATGTGGCAGAACAAGACCAATGTGTATAAGCTACCTACAATGAAGTACCTGGCAACGGCATTGAATAGAGCAACACCTTTTGAGAAATCTGTAGAATGGGTCATAGCCGCTCTGCAAAAGACAGCAGCTGGTAAAATAGACCTTGCTAACAGACATTTGAACGAAAGAGTAGCTAAAGGTCAGTCCTATGAAGACGCGTGGAATAACACTTCGATAGAACTGGTCAGTGCTGCTGAAGTACATGGCAGAACGATTATTGTGGAGCAGTTTTATAACACGGTGCAAGGATACAAGAGTAGAGTTTCTAAGGAGTTAGGAACTGTTCTTGAGCAATTGTTGCAACTGTACGCTGTTAATGCGGCACTCAGGTGTACCGGTGATTTCTTAAGGGTATGTATTCGAGTGAACTACTCGTATGTTTTTGTTAAGACGACTTCGGAGTATCTATTACGTTTTGACGTCTACTCGTACTGTGGAAACTTCTGATCAGCAAGTGACATCTTTGTATTAGTCCGTAACGTTGGTGATAATGAATCGGGTGTAAATCCAGAGATCAAATCTCGGACAAGATCATTCTTGAGGGTGAATGTGCATGGCGCAGTTTTTAAAGATAGAAATATTTTCATCAATTGTATTTTCAGTTCACTGAAGTTCTGGGGAAAGACATCACAGTACTTCAAACCTGGTTAGAAGAACTCTTAAGCCAAATTCGACCAAACGCTGTAGGTTTGGTAGACAGTTTTGACATGAGGGATGAAATATTGTCTTCTGCACTCGGTTGCTATGACGGGAATGTGTACGAAAGGTTATTCAACGAAGCCCAAAAGAGTCCTCTGAATGCGGAGCCAGTAAATAAGTCATACAATTTGTATTTGAAGCCTTTCATCAAGGCACAACTGTAGATCCAATGAACAAGATCCTTGATTAATAGCTAGTACAGGCGGTAGATTACGAATTCTTACGCGAAAAAAAAAAAAGATTTGTAGTCAGATTTAAAGCGATATGGGAGCATACAATTCGGGAAAATAGTGCATGCATCAGTTAAATACACTTATATTGTGAACTTTTTATTATCCTGTTTTGTTAAAAAAAAGACTGTTACAACCGTTATAACTAATGTTTTTTGGATGTACGAGGGTTGTTTCAAAAATAAGGTTTCCACATTTTTTTCAGACACAAGGAATTTTTTACGACGGTGTTGCCAGCATTGGGAACCTAATCTTTGAGAAAACCCTCGTAAATAGTGGGTCAAAAAAAAAATGACACACCGCATTTTTTCTTTTTATTTAACATCTACCGCCTCGTCTACAAGGAGTCTCAGAATACCTGGGGAATATGATATATACAAAACGTTATTTGTCGGTCTTTATTACTGTGAAAGAGTCCGCTAAGACATTTTTTTATAAGAACTTGTCACATTTTTTTTCATGTGTTCTACATACATCCAAAGGGTTTTCCGCTTATTTTGAGATAGCCTTTATAATTTTATAACGCCCGTCCATTACAATTATCATTATTTAGGATAAACAGAAAAAAAGACAATCATGTTTATATATTTTGTGGTGGGCATTGTTGATTTTGAGGAACTCTATACATTCCAATTTGAGATTTTTATGTAGAAATCGATTCTATTGGTTATTTGGAATTTATTGTCCTCATATATTCTATTGTGCATTTGTTAGGGGAAGGTGTATATTTCATATTTGATAGACTTGTTTTGTATGCCAGATGTATATTTTGTTGTTTATTATTTTGTTTATGATATTTTAATAATAAATGAAATTACTGAACGTACATCTTCGATTCATTCTGCCACTTTCTGCTGTCCTTTGACACCAACACTAACACCAAAAACACAACCTTATATCTTTACCTTATATTTTTTCTATTTACGACTATCGCTTGTGTAATAAATAAGGGGGGCTCAAAAAAAGGGCCTGCTTGAACATCGAGTATGTGAAAGCAGAAAACACGATCTTTTTTTTTTCGTAGCACGTTCATTTGTCAAGTTACCGGCTTGAAATAGGGATTTCTTCGAATTTTTTCAAATTGGAAAGTATTATAGTGGGATATGAACATAGCATTTTATATAGGAAATTTCCTGCACTTTTCGATGGAAAAGAAATTTGAAACAAAAAAATGGAGGTGCTAAGTGTAAACATTTCAAACCGAAATTTGGACAACGAATTTTCTTATTTTCGATTTTCTTTCTCCAAAACATAGCCTAAAGTGTGTTTAAAATACATCAGAAGTTTTGACATAAACAAGCGCCTAAGTGCGAGATGTATGCTGCCGTCATAAGCCAGAACGCAATAAGCGCAAAAAATGCGAAAATGAGATATCGTCGTTATACTATGAAAAGCACGTAGAGGAAGCATATTTCGATGATAAAATACAGGATATATAATCTAAAATTTACAATATCTAGCATTTTGACTATCATCTTAAACTAGACTACAGCATCTGTACATCAATAAATTTAAACAGTAACTGCCCTGTATTCTTGCTTAGAAGCCATACAGATACCAGGTTTTGATGTATAACCAAAGTAATGGCGATAGCAGTTACTGTAAGAGATACACATAATCACACCGAATTCATAATATTTTTAATTAGTTTTTGTCGGTTATTTAGTATATTTGTAAGGATTCAGTTAAAACTTTTTTATAGGTTTCGTATACTAAAGATATATACGCCGAAACAACATCGCGTAGTACTTACTATGTTCTTAATTAAAGAAACAGCAGTTCAGACAATTGTGAAGTAATAGTATATGATTTTTGTTTATAAATAGGTATCTTTGGTAAAATTAATGAATTCGTAAGAAAAATTACCAATTTTAACCGGGTATAAACCAAAAGCCTTAAAACGTTACAATTCGCGAATGGTTACAACACATTCTCATCGCTCCTGCAAAATGTGTAATCCCCAGATACTATCTTCTGGTTTATGACGGCAGTATGTACATAAAAATCTCTCGCATTAGTGAATGCTCTTCCCATTTTAAAACTTTTAGTGTATTTTCAACACCCTTTAGGATCTATTTTGTAGTAAAAAAAAGGCGAACTGAGATCTTTACAGTTCCGACAAATAGCAGCTATGCACTCTCCGCAGTCTTATTATGTTGGCCCAACATGTGGATTAGGCGAAACTCTACCTCTACCTATGTCGGCTGAAAAATTCCTGCACTATTTTGGGGGAGTGAAACTTCTGGGATGGCTATTTTGTGATGATATGCCTTTGGGAATATATTCAATCTACTTTTTTTTTCTATACCGAAGCAGCCGTGCAGGCACAAGCCTAAATGCCGGGCCACCGCGGCTGCTATGATGATCCCAAATAAATTTTGTTATTCCAATTTTTGAACTGCCTAAGGTTAGTAGAACTGGGAAAAGCTTCCTCCTGTAGATTGTTCCACAATCTCGACACCCACGGGACAAAGGAGCGGTCGCATCGGCCAGTTCTGGATGTACGAAGTTGGACACGGTTAGGATAGGAGGCCAAAGCCAGGCCGGTCTGTCTGGAAAGCACATCGCGTAGCGGCATCATGGAAGAGAGCTCTGACGAACAAAGCCCGTTGGTGTAACGGTAGAAAAGAGCTAGATCGCCGACGGCCCGCCGGTGCGAAAGAGTCCCGAGACTGTCTGTTAGAGAAAAGTCATTGATCAGTCGGACAGCCCTCCTTTGGACAGCATCGAGCATAAGTAGTGTAGTCGGGGCGGCAGCACCCCAAACGTGTGAGCAATACTCGGGGCTAGGCCTTATCTGGGCAAGGGTCAAGCGGAGAAAAGTACTTCTTACTCCTAAACAAATAGCCTAGTTTTTTCCCAACAGGTGCCGCTATTGACGAGATGTGTTCGTGCCAGATCAGGTCCTCGGTGATCTGGACTCCGACCGAGCCGAAATGAATGGCTCTTTGCCAGAACTCGGCCATACATCGAAACCGGATGAGCGCTAGGATGCTTTTTGTTCATCAAGGTACAGTACTGTGTTTTGGAATTTGGAAGCATTAAACTGTACAAGATTGTTGCGTCCCCAAGTAGTGATAACCTCCAAGGAAAGGTAGAGAAGAATTCTCTGAGCTCCTCCCAGTTGGCATGTCCGTAATGCCAAATTTTGCGGCCTGTTCGACAGCGGGTTCTGACCGAAACCTAACCTCCACAACACCGAGGTCTGGGTTACCCAGGGGACAGGACAGCAGTACTGTAAGGGACAGGTTGCGAGGTCAAAAAGTGATCCAGCAGTCTACTGGCGTGTGACGAGACGTGGGGAAAAAAATAAGGCCCGTCACCAGCTGGGTCAGCCCTTGAGTACTCTTACTGCACGACCCGCTGGATTGGTATTGTTTGAGCCCAACCAAAGCTCATTATGGGCATTGAAATCACCGAGGAGAACTACCTCTGAAGCGGGTTGATTGATGTTCAGTAAGTCAATCTTGACGGTGAGATATTCAAGTAGGTCATCCCTGTTATGGTCCGAGGGAGAGCGATAAAGGCAACAAATAAATCAGTGGTATGTTTTGGAGTTGAGGCGAAGCCACAGAATGTCCTTCCGGTCTCGTTCTAAAGAAACATCTCTGTAGCAGGAAAGAGTGCTGCACACAAAAGCCGCCACAACTCCCCCGTTCTTTCTCAGATTGGAGCGCACCTCGTAATTTCGGAAGCTAAGATAGTTAATCGATGCAGAATCTGAGATTTTTGTCTCCGCCAAGAAAAACATGGCGGGACGATTGGATTGCAAGTAGTGATGAACATCATCAATGTTGCTGTTAATCCCGCAGATGATCGTGAAACAAATTTTATCTTCAATATTGTTCCTTCGAGTTCACCCTCCATCCGGACATTCCGAGAGTGGATTGAGCTTACGTCCGGAGTTCTTAGTACTCGAGGGATCCATCATCATTAATTGCTTTGTTTTGGAAGATAACCGACTGCATAACTTAGCAGTGGAAACATGCTGACATTTATAAGACTAAAGCTAGGGGGTCGTACAGCCTCGGACGACTGGTCCTTGTCTACTAGCTTCTTTTTGCGTGTTAATGATGTTAAATAGACCTAAAGTGGCCCGTTTGCGGACTTGTACCGCCACCAAGCAATCGGTCCTGAGGTATTCCTTAACGCGTGTACAATCACTTGAACGGGAAGAAGCTGTATACTAGATACAACAAATTCCGGAACAAGCATTTGCCACGGCCCCAATCGGTAGGGTGTGTACTTATATACGCTATACCTTGTGTCAACGACAGTAGAAATAGAATATTTATTCAAACAGCATGTGATTTTGATAAATGGCGACCGGACAAAGTCTGTTTTGGTAATCTGCCACCTACCTACTTTGTGCAAATAAAACGAAATTACACATTTTCCAATCATACGATCAGTGATTCAGAATCACATTTTCCACGCCACGCGAAATAGGTTAAAGTCTAATCTCTAATCCATTCCAGACTTGTTTACGATTTACGAAATAGCACACAGTCCATTGCCCAGCTTTCTCGAAAATGTTTAACAAGGCAATGAAAAATCACTCCAGCCTGGCTTCACAACGATTTATTTTAGTCTAAGTATATTATGATTTTATTCGCAAAATTCATTACAATGTAATGATATAACATTAATTTTTAATGAAGAAATCATGATATGATGTTGGCTGGTGTTCAGAGGGCCTGTGACGTACTTGAAGTTTACTTTTCGGTTCATGATCTCTGTCTTAATAAGCCTAAAGCACAGTGTATTTTATTTGGAAATAGAACGGATGCTGTTCTCTCTTATAAAAATACAGATATTGGGACAGCGGAAAGCATTTCTTTTCTGTGTGTTAGGATTGGCAGGCGACTGGACCGGGGGGCTCACGTTGAGGATGTTGCACTGGGTGTCTCTAGGTATTGCTAGGCATCGAGAGTTATTAGAAATGACGTTGGTCTCGACGCTGCCCTATCGGCATACCACGCGTTGCTTTAGTCTAGAATTTGATATGGTCTGGTCTTCTGGGGCAGCTCACGGGGTATTTAAAATAAAACAAATAGAAAGGTGCAAATAAATCTTTATCAGTAAAAAATTCTAACTGTTGTTCCAGAGATCTGTTTGACGATGCTACAAATAAACGTAATCACATGACTAGGCATAAAGATCTTATCCCAGATAAGTGTAACGTTAGTTTTATTCAGCAAAATGCTCCAGTAATGTTAAAAAAATTCAATAGTTTTCATTTAAATGTACGTAATTTACCGAAAATCAAAGTTAAAAAGATTATCGCTAGGTAATTATTTAATCTCTAAGGCATTTACTCATTGAATCATTTTTTGAGGATAGGGATAGAGTTACTCTAGAGTTAATTAAGAATATATTTTGTACTGCAGGGTATTATATCATTGTTGCTCCTATACATAATTCTACTGATAATGTTGGCTATATGGAAAATTGTTGTAATTAAATATATTGTTCTTGTTTATGATTGTGAAGGCACATGATTTCGTAGTAGTTCATAAAAATCTTTGTAACTGTATATTTCTTTTATAACAAGGGCGGATCCAGGATTTCGTCTCGGGGGGGCGCAAACGATCTTTGGGGCTGGTAATTTTTCTACCTCAGTGGAACTTCTAGAATTTATAATATTATTGTCCCTTAAATCCATTGTGTTCTATCTGTTCAATGCCAACTTGAAAAAAAATATGGAAAGTGCTCAGACAGCCTCAGAAAGGCAATATTTTATTATATGAGAACAAAAGAATCACGTGGCATTTATAATTAACTAGTGTAGTAATATTAAAGATTAAAACGTTAAAAATCT